TCCGTAGTGTCGAAGAAGTTTCTATAATGTATGTGGAGCATTTCCCTCTTCGTGACCGGAGTATAGGAACATCTCTCCCGTATCTAGTCTACATAGGGTTTCACTGATTCCGAGAACCGCCAAGTTTTATTTCCATTCCCGTTGCAATTTGACTGGTCTCTCCGGTCTCTCACATTATCCGGACATTCTATGTACCTATAATAATTGTTGCTCTGGTTGTTAGAAGGGGCGCATATATATTTGGCGCACTCCTGTACCAATATAAATGTGTTCAAATAATAATAATAATAATAATAATAATAATAACAATAATAATAGAAGGGGCATCGGCCTCGTGACTTCCGAAGAATCTCGGCTTTCTTCATGAGATGTCATAGATTTCCCTTCAACTCCCAGGAAAGAGTTTAAATGATTTAATGTGATTGGCGTTCTTTTTAGCAAGATTTTTGTCTACGGGATGGGGTTGCCAAACCCTCCTCCTCTACCCGGGCTTGGGACCGGTAGTAGAAGAGCTACAGGTGAAGTTATTCTTTGCAAATATTTACGAATGAAATCAGTTAAATCTCAAATGGTCGTATCTTTTACTTACGATGGTTTTTGTGATTAGCAGAAAACGTTTGCATGATACTGCACAGTATAAGCTAAGGATTCATTGAAATTTAGATATATCAATTTAATTCTCTTTTGAGCAATGTCAACTCCGTAGATACACTGACATCGACGGGTTTTCGCGCCGATTTTACGATCCTTACTGTCTGATAGATTTGTACACTGGCATTTCGGAAATCTTATTTTTCGCAATAATTTCTAGAATGATTACACGATAGTTTCTCCTTTTTGAAAAACACTCTTTCTAATAAATTTAGGCTAAAAAGGCATTAAAAATTGGTAAACCAGGAAAAATCTCTGTTGAAGATGTTACTTATCTCGTTCGACGTGATCCTAAGAAATTTTCTCGAGTGAAAGAGCTGCTCTTGCTCAGTGAAGAGCTCCGACGTGCACGCAAAGCATTTGAAGAAGATGAGTTTGATGTGCTTAAATAATTACTTTTCTCACCCGCGTACTACCGTGTGTTTTTTATTTGTAAATAAATCTTGCACAAACAATAACTTAATAAATTTCTATTTCTTTTATGTGAAACTTCTGCTAACACACCCAGTTCCACAACTTTTTAAAAGTCAGTAATAAAAGTTACTCTTAAAAGATTTCTGTCCAATACAGATTTAGTCAATCTCGATATCTCTCTTAAATTTTCTTCAGAGAATAAGGCCATTCGAATCCATTTAGTTGGAACACCAGACAATTATAATAATATTAAAACGGCACCCTGATTTGTCTAATGGGTTCGCTATCTTATATCCAACTTAGGTGACTCAGATTTGTTATATATTTCTAAATAAGCTTCAAGGTTTTGATATGACTTTAAAAGGGTGTGTAATATACTTCTTCGCAATGCTTTTATCGATTAGTGCCGTGAAGAACAAATGTCGCTTGCAGATCATGGAGGCGCATACTTCCAGCGATCAGTAAGCCTAGACAGATAGAATATCCAAGTTACCTAACTGTAAACCATTCGAAACAAGCTGGGATTGTGTATATATTCAATTCGAAAACAATTTGACCTAATTTTATTGACTAACTAAAAAAGGCAAGGATATGCAGAATAAGACTACTACAGATCAATATTCTTAGTTCAGAAGGTAACTGCAGAATCGGAGTACGAAGCGATCTTAGCCAGACCACCACCTGAGAACCAGAGTGCACTGCGTGGTTGTATCGCTCCAGTATGTGACTGCTCAGCAGTACTCATACACTACCTATCACAGATTGGACCTCGTATATCGGATCTAACGTATGAACGCGGGCAGAGAATACGTACAGCCCATGCTGGGAACGAAATCTTTTCAGTGCTTACTGGTTCTCATTGATGCTGTAAGTAAAATCAATTCGCGATCAAAATGATGTATGTTAAACAACTCATCGCTGCACTTTGTTTGATATCTACCGTATTTCATATTCGATTAACATGCAATATATTTCCCCCTAGTTGAGAATCTCCCACTATGATTTGGATGCTTATATTTAGGAAGACTTTTTCGACAAGTTATAGTTTTAAGAAGTGGGAATCCAACATTCATTTGCAATTTGTATCAAGAGACTCCTAAAATACTTACCTACTACAAGCTAAATATTTCCACTAAGTTACAAACACAAGTTCAGTTTCTGTTTCGTTATTCTATGAAATAGCAGACGATCGACTTTGCGTCCGCTCAGGTCATTTTGAGGAATAATTTGGCTGCAGTAATGCCCGCTGACATCCAAAATAAGAAGTCAGGAAAACCACTTTCGATTTAAAAAACCAAACGGCTCTTAAGTTTTTGTTACTCACAAATTCGCAATACTGTGGAGATGTACTACTATTGTAGAAAGCGAAACAATCAAAACCGTTTCAATACGAATATTGCGTTTGTCTCGTGATACTCGTTTTGGGAAAGGAACTTAAAAATCAGTAGACGGCCTTACGGTTTCCGTTCTGTAGTACACTGGTAATACTCAGCAATACAGAATTTAGCATTACCCCGGCAACCTTTATTTGTGGGGACCTTGAGACATTTTAAACACAGCAAATATCCAGTCACTGACATGTTTTCATGCGTAGAAACTAATTCGGAAAGTGCATCAGTACTGACTTGGTCACTATTTAGGCACCATTGACGTGTTTCTGGAATTTATCGTGGTAAATTAATCCGTCGGATACACAAGATCCGAAATTGCAGTGCGAATTGAGGGCGATTCATCTTGATTTAACTCAAGCTGTTCAGTAGTCATCTCGAAGAAAATCATTATGATCTACCACACCTTGTTTGAAAGATGTCGTCCTCCGATGAGCGATTAAACTTAGTGTTAATTACTGACCGATATACGGTTTCCGTTCGATCTACGAACTCCTTGCAGAGCAGCAGCTTAATCCAGTGATCAGATTTGAAGTTTGGATATCGATCAAGACTACTCCAAAAACCGCATCTAATTCAAGCTCGATTAGTGTATGACTGTAAAAACCAGCGCGTAAGACGTAAATACATTTAACGGTTAAAGATATGATTTGGTTTGGCATCGGAGTGAACTAAACCTGTATATTTAAATCGTTCATGTCGGGCTTAGCTTTTAATATTGTTCATTTATACTTAATTTTTGTACATAACAAGTAACTTCACTGTAAATACCTATTTTTCCGGCTTGAAGACTCCTTATAACTGTCTGGTGAAGACGCTGACAAAATGCAGAGTCTTCTGGTAGCACTAAGCAACAATGCCAGGATGTTGGAATGCGCTTCTCTCCCTCTAAATGCAAGTTTTTGCTTCAGGACTGGTCTGCGTTAACACCTGAACTAAGGATAGGGAGTGAAGTAGTCGAACGCGTTGACAACTTCACTTATCTTGGAAGTCTGATCAGCCCTAATGGGTTGGTATCGGACGAAATCTCAGCACGGATTCGAAAAGCTCGATTGGCTTTTGACAACCTGCGTCACCTATGGCGAAGGCGAGATATCCGTCTATCAATAAAAGGACGAGTATACTGCGCGGCAGTCCGTTCTGTTTTAATTTACGGCAGCGAAACATGGCCATTAAGAGTAGAAGACACTCGTAAGCTATTAGTATTTGACCACAGATGCCTTAGAAATATTGCTGGCGTCTGCTGGGATCACCGGGTAAGTAATAGTGAGGTTAGACGCAGGATATTAGAAAATGATGGTAAATCTGTCGATGAGGTTATGAATCTTCATCGACTGAGATGGTTGGGCCACGTGTTACGTATGCCTGAACACCGATTACCACGACGCGCAATGCTAACCGGTGTTGGAAATGGTTGGAAGAAAGTTAGGGGTGGCGAAACCAAAACGTGGCATCAGTGCTTGAAGTCATTAACTTCTAGCCTGAGCCATGTTGGTAGATGCAGACTACTTGGTTGGGGTCCGCGTGACTATCGTAACCAATGGTTGGAGACTCTTGGTGACATGGCTCAGAATCGATCACAATGGCGTCGGTGTATACACTCCCTGTCTTCCCTTAAACTAAGAGATTAGAATCGCTTCATATCTTTCTTTCTACGAACCAATTCTTTCTTCTTGTACTACATCTCTATATGCAATCTTTCTCTTACATATTTCTACCTTTGACCTAACCACTGCTATGAATCCGGTGTCCATCTTGTTGTGCTGATGCGGTATGGCAACCTGGACCGATGCACATATGTGCCTGGTCCTACGTTGTAGCTGACTGACTGATAACTAGTACATAAAGGGGTTAATATCCGTATTTGTTCGCATAAGAGATCAAATCAATGCATTCCATTTATTAGTTGGTGATGTATCTGTTTATTTGAACAATTTTCATACAAAAGAGAAATGCCTTAATTTTATAAAGAAACGAAAAAGATTATTTGTGTACCTTATTCTGTCATAAATGATTAGTTTTCCTGAACACTAAACACTTATTAGAACAAAACGACTTGATTGTCTGAGTATGAATCATTTTTACACTATTATTCTGGTAGTTCCAAAACTCTATGGTGAATTGGATTAAACTCTCACGAACGTTCGTAAGTTTATGCGAATTGTGTGAATTTATTAAAACGTCTTTTCATCTATTCGAACCTTCCTATCCATTTAAAGACTCAAGAAAAGTTAAGATACCACAAAAGAAACAAAACAAGCATTTGCGTTCTTAAAATGTATATAACAAAACAGGAGTTGAACCAGAATTTTAAGTACTTGATCAGCAATAATTTAATATACAAACCTGTGACCTAAAGCTGGAAATTGATGCATCGTCAATAATCATCAAATATGATTATACTTTACACATTCGAGACAATCTGCGTGACTAACAGCTGAATTATGTTTGTATACTTTCAAACTTAAAAATAATTCGGAAATCGATGTTGTTCACGTTACGACTAAAGCTAGCACAATCAGTAAGACAAAGAATAAGATGGAGACTGGCAGTAGATTATTTTTATGTAGACAAATGATTCGTACTTTGTACACATATTTATATGAAAAAGAAATTAAGATCATATTAACAGTTGTATTGTTGGGAAACCGAATATTTCCATACCTGAAAAGCAAAGACAAATTCGACGATAAATCGGGAAAGCAAATTACTGACTGAAAGAAGGTTGAAATCAATAAGTTTCAAAAAATAGCTACTCTGTTTTAAGATTTACTTGGAGTATTCTGTCAGTAGGTTGAACAGAATAAGCATAAGAAAAAGAGGGATAAACGTAAGAGTAACTGTACGATACTCTGTCTAATTGTACTGGTAGCATTATTCAGTACCGGAACACGGAGACCTGTATGAGATCACCAGTTTATTTGAGGACATTGAGAACATTTGCAAGGAAGTGTCAAGAAAATTGTCAAGGAAATATAGTTGAGAAAATGAAGATTAAATAGAACAATAACGAGTGTAAGAACTGTAGCAAAAAAAGGATGTGTCTAGAACTTAAACATTACTTTTAGACCAAACAACAAACACCATAAAAATGAATAGATATTGTATGCCAACTCAAAATGAAGCGTATAATGTTGCTTTCCAAAAGTGCGTACTGTGGACTAATATATAAATTCAGATCCACTGTATCTTACAGTTAATGGAGTAACTTTGTACTGCCAAAACAAAAGATGAATAAAATACCATGTTACTATTGTTAAGTCAATCATGAAGAAATAGGTTTGATTTGAAAGTCATAAAATTCACTTACCAAATGATTAAATTACCTGTCTGAAATCTCACTTGTGAACTAAGGATTATAAGTGCAAACCGAAGACAGGTTAACACTTCGTACAGGAAAGTGTACAAATCTAATGATGACTTTTATGATGAGAATGTTTCGAATGACTGGACTTCGTAAAATAAGGTTTTGGTGACCGAACATTATCACTGTGATCTTCTGAGGATCGACTGAATCGAGAGAGTCCTACTTTTTGGTTCCCATGATTCGAACTTGAAGATTCTGAAGAAGCTGTTGACGAATCACGAAAATCCCTCTTACGACTACGATGGGAATGCCGTGGATTTGTTTTCCTTTTATGTGAATGTTTGGAATGCGAACGTGAAATTGTGACGGCCGTATCCGTTTCTTTTTCATTTTTATGGCGTTTAGAAGATTTCTGATGAATGCTGGAAGAATAAGATTGCTTTTCATAATACTTTTCTTGTACAGTTTGAAATTTCCCACTTTCAGTGACAATTTTATTATCTGGAAGGTAAAACAAATTATAAGAACTTCGAAAAACGAAGAACCAGTACTTATTGACTGTAACTATTGCGAACATGAATTTTCACTATTTTTTTGATTTTTAAATTTATCAGTTGATATGAACGGAAAAAACGTAGTCTACTGATTAAATTTAGTGAAGGGAAATAGAAATTTGTAGGAAAGTTGGTTACAAATATCTACTAGAAGTCATACAGAATAAAAAGAATACGAAATATAGCTGTATTCCAAACTCATAATTACAAAATTAATATGGGGAAAAACCATGTAACATACGAATATATTGATAGGATCTTTATATGTCATAAGTTCTTGCCAAATGCATATTTCATTGAAACAACCACTATACAACATACACACTCAAAGACAAACTGATGTTTATCTTAGTTACTGTCGAATTTATGTGACGACACTAAGCTAATTAGTCTCGATAAGTAAAAGGTGTTTTACTTGGGCACTACATAGCGTGCGTGCAATTATTTTTCACAAGTTCCTAAATTAGTGCTTGGCACATTGATAGCACTAAGTATTAACATCAAAGTATTACAATTTAAGATAACTGAATCCATTCAATTCACGATAACACAGCACCATAACAAGCCTGTGTTAAGTGACATTTTGAAAGAAATGATAAATAAAGCATCGGTTAAGCTGTAGAATAACAAAGTTTTCTTACGATATTAAAGTCGATGAGACGTTATATCAAACAGTAAAGCGGATCACGAATTGCAGACATGAAACTATTAGAAATGTACAGAGTACTCCAAATACCCCAAGAATTCATCGATCATTATTAAGTCACAAAAATCTATACTCAACGATCATAGTGATTGACTTAGATGATCACTACATTAAGTTATTAGATTTCTATTGGATATAATGTCGAACTACGCAAAACAATCCCAGGAAGAAAAAAAGGCCTACTTGAAATCATTTTATCGCACCCACGATCCACGAAAGCTGATTAACACTTGAATTTGAAGCATAAGTATGAGAGCCATGATTTTGCAGATAACAAAGATCACAAATGTATGGAGAAATTCAAACACTTCACTTCTATCTGAAGTTTTTGCTGATGATGTCGTTCAGAAGAACGATGAAAGCTCCACGACCAAACCATCCAGCTCAGAGAACAAAACTCCATCAAAATCACAAATGTATACTTATAAATAAAGCTGCCACAAGAGACAATGTTTTCAAAGGTTTCATTCATTATCAAAATAATGGGACACAGTAGTGCGAAATACATACACAATCGAACATGTTGTGTGAGGACAAAATGAATTAAGGGTCGACAGAAAAGGATATCACCATCAACTAAGTGTTGGAGATGTAGGAGAGATGATCGACTGCATAGAATTTACAGAAACACCCATGATCCAGCGATTTTCATCAACGGTTTCTAAGATTCACGGACGAGTATAAAAAGTTACCTCATTATTTATATAAACTTACTTTCGTTACTAGGACTATTCTGTGATGTATAATCATGCTTTACATCATCAGGAACATCACCTGGTAGTATACCTGATATATTACTTGTGGGTAGTTTACTTTCCAGCACGTTTTGCTCAGATTCTGACTCACTTTCACTATTATAAGAGACTAACCCTGTAAAAAGTTGCAAAATAATAGGGGTTAATGAATTTCTTTTATAAATTTTGACAATTAAATACTCAAATATATTATCAAGAGCAGCGTTTGCTTGATAGTCCTTTCACTGTAACCAATGCTGTAGAGACAGCGATTTGAGAAATAACATAACTATTTGATTAAAAACCTGGATGCTCCCCGATAACTCTTCTCTCTCGTGTTACCGTGTTGTCAGTCATTTCAGGTATATCATTCTATGAGATTTGAGTCATGATTAAATAAAATACAATAGAGGACCGACCTGCTTCTTACTTTTATCCTCTGGTTGAATTATAGGTTAATAGGAGCTCAAGAGCCAGTAAGTGTTAAGTTTTTGGTTATTCGTCATTAATCGATGGTTGTAGGTAAACAAGTTACCGATCTTACCGTGTAGACATAGGGAAAATAATTGATCGAACCAGAGAAATTATATAATAATTCTTCGAAAGTTACAGCCTGGTCACATGGGCCACAGTATAATACCCATAATGTAATTTCTACCGTCACATATGATTGTAAATAGGTAATACGTTAGGCAGTTTAAATTACCGGCAATATTGTCATTTAGTAAATTGTATCAAACCGGAGAACCCAGTTAGATGTCATTTAGCACGTTAAAAGTTAAACAATGTTACATAAAGCAGAACATATAGCTTTGATTATTAAACGAAAATTCGTAGCTTTTCATATAGAACATTATTCGACATAGCTCAAAAAGGTGAGGATGCATTATTTAATTATTTTTAAATCGTGAACATTGAGTTATTTAGAATTTTCATACATCGATTTCTAGTACTACTTTAGACCCCTATCAAGATTATTTTCACTTAAATTTTCACCACTATGAATACCACAAATCTCATTGCCCTCATTTTCCCACTTTTTATAAGCTTTCGACGTTACGATGAGTAGTTTAATAACTTGAACCGATAAGCAATCATACTATGTAGTACATCATGCGTGCATTAGTTACAGCATGGTAGTCTTTTCATATAAACACCAGTTCATGTGACAATATAAAGTAAACGTAGTATATGAGTTATTAGCACACTACATAATCATAAAAATACTTAGCTGAAACCGAAGTGTCAAACGTCCTTGTTTGTATTGATTAGGATTTGAGAGTCTAGCCACCTCACTACGCTAAATAATATGTCTGTTAATTAGCGCTTAAGAAACTTAGACAAAAAATAACTAAAAAACAGATAAGCATTTGCATTCCCAAGTACTGCTGGTTGAATATGAAGTAAAATACAAATACAAAATCTCAGGCGATGAATCACTGAGATGAATAATAGTTCAATTCAACCCTTAGAACATGTTACTTAGTTAATAATTGGGACCATATAATTAAGTTGTGATTAAATATAACAAATCAAACTAGTTACAGAAAAAACAAATGCTATCCAGTTACCTAGAATTGGGGATTTTATCTCAACATATGGAGAGTCTTCTAATGGTAGAACATGCGATTTTCCTGAAACCGCTTCTGTCATTACTTCTTCTACTATGGCGTCAATGAGTTCAGTTGTAACAGCCAGTAGAGCCTCCGTCAGCGTCCGGGTAATAAAACGAGCCTGTAAAACCGGATGAAATTTACTGATTATTCAAATTTATTAAGTCTTGTTTTGGAAAGAACATTAGATCGTAAACAGATATTATTCACGGCTAATATTCTTTATTTATAAACCTAGTTATGTGAAGAACAACTATAACACCATCTTGAAAATCTAAGCATACTTAATCACCAGCCTAGAACAGGTATATTGTCTGAGAAATAATGGTATTTATTTGGCTGCTCAAACTTTCAGAGATCCAGAAGAGTAGCTGGATTGTGTTGATTGACAGTTGAAAGTTTCGAATGAAAACCCCACCACTATCACACAAACGACATTATTAGCACAAAAAAAACAACTTGCTTCTAACGTCGCAGTGTTTGACAGCGATTCACAGATCACTGACAAATTATCAATTCCATGTCTACCTGGTCCTAAGTAATGATCGATTAGTGTCGACTTTTTCGTCCAATATATCGGTCGCACTTTGAATATTTCAGAAGAAACGTCTTTGATTATGAAACAGCGATGGAGGTTTGATTCTCCAGATGAATATCAGCGAATGTGTATTCGTGACGAGTAACTAGGTCTAAGGCTTCATGGTGATCACATTTAGTGAAATCACAATGACCAAATGAACCATTCCAAACAATTCAAAGAAAAAAAGCTTGCTCACAGAACATAATTGAATAAAATACTAAAGATTAAGCTGAATAAAATCAAAGTAAATATAAATATTAACTTATGTACTAGGATATGAGCTACACCTATCATGTGAGACCACAGTTGTTTAAAGTGAAGCAACCGATCTGTGTACAAGTTCACCAACATCGTGTTTCTAACTACTTTTTTAGGTTGGAAAAAATTCCGATCAGCATAAACAATTACTACTAGGTTAGAAAAAATACATCCTTATAAGTTTGTTTTGAAAGTCATAAGCTTGGTAATTGATACGTTAATGTCAACCTTCCATATTTCAAGTAAGAAATATCTAGAAAATCAAAAAAATATTTATTTGCGTTTGGGAAAATATATTGGATACAATATTTTCTTACCGTTTCAGTCCTTTGTTCTTCGTCCGATAGTGATGCGAACAACTCATGAAATTCTTGAAGGGATAGCAGATGTGTAGGCTGTTGTGCACCAGTCCGAATACGGCAGTTCCAACATTCGCAAAACCAAATACATATCAAACATGTGGCAGAGAATGAGTGTGAGGTAGCATCGAATTCAATAAAGTCATATTTAATGACAATATGCGTCAATTGTTCAAAGCGCTAGACAATACAATAGTTAGTTTTTGGAAAGTTCAACTAGCTTTACCTGATACTTTCCAAAAACTTCCCTTTTAAAATCTCATAAACTAAAAATCATTAAATTGCTTCAAATCCTACTCTTCTCAATACAATGAAGCGATTTGATGAAAGTGTCAAACGAATGCATTAATGGGATATCTGGGACTTTTGGTTCAAATGTGGAATATAGCTACGAGAAGTCAAATCACCATACAGTAGCTTGACGATTAAGCACTGAAATTTGCTTACAAGCTTCAATGAGCTTACCGTTAATGATGCAGGAGTGTTGGGTAAAATATTTTGAGAATTATCTGTAGTTAGTTGTTTTACCGCAGTTTCAGGGTTTGAGATTTCCTCTGATTCCGCAGGAGGTTGACTTCGAGATGAAAACGGGGATTGGAGGTCACCAACAGGATTACTTGAGACATCAAAAGGACTTCCCTGTTCTTTGACATCACTATCTGATTCCTCATTATTGTTCAATAGAGATTTTAGTGTTTGGACATCAGTTTTAGCTTCATCCTCCATAACGATATCACCTTCATCATCCCTTTTAGCATCAGGAGCAGCCCCTAAAACTTAAGATAGTGATGAAGCTTTGAGGTAATTTTAACGTCAGGTATTGAACATCAATTATCATTTTGACTAAAAGAATTTAGTAACATATCCGGAAAATAAATAGTAAACGACCCAACTAGTGTTGTCTAAGGCATTTTAACACCAGTTGTGTCATAATATAAAGAAACATAACAAAAAATGCGCATTATCCTGGAACTGAACAAAATAATACCTAACACTGATCGAAATAATCATGCTTATTGTAGTATTCTGAATAATTTACCTTGGACGGCACAAGATATGATTATTCTCATTATTATGCAGAGGACAACACCCAGAAAACAACTAGGTGGATGCTTTGAAATCAGTACTGCACAAATGAAAAAACTGCGAGCATTATGATGAACAGTCTTTGGAATGTCAACTCAAAATAGGATAAAAACAAATTCTCTGTGGCTGCGTAGTACCAGATTAGAAATCACAAATTGCGTAGATAAATTAGATTAAATGTAGTACATTTAACGAATTCAAGGGATTTATAATGACCAATACAAAACTTTCAGTTAAGGAAGATACAACCACTTTTTATGAAGAAAGTAAGGGAAGGTCACAGCAGGATCGCCACTGGCTTCTACTCTGAGCCATATCTGATAACGTCTCTAGCCACTGTGTAGCACCATCTCTCGGACCCCAACCAGGGAGTCGTGAAGGACCGACAGAAGCCAGTCCTTTACAGCTTTCTTTCATACCACGACACCATGTCATGCACCGACCACTTCTCCGCTTCTTCCAACCAGTCCCAGAGTCGGCAAATAATGCACGACGTGGAATTCTCTGGGACGACATTCGTAAAACGTGTTCAAGCCATCGAAGTCGATGTTTCAAGATGGTGACATCGATTGCATTATCATCTCTGTGCCCGAACACACGATGCCGAACTTCTGCATTACTGACATGGTGTTGCCACTGGATATCAGCAAACCTTTGGAGACAGCGATGATCGAACACAGAGAGTCGTCTAACGTCCTCAACTCGGAGAGGCCCGGTTTCACAAGCATGGAGCAGAACTGCTCTCACCGACGCGTTGTAGATCCGACCTTTTACAGCCAGACTAACATCACTAAGGCGCCAAAGATAGCCCAGATTGGCATAAGCCGCTCTGGCTTTCACTATACGTGCATTGATCTCATCTCTCCGTCTGGTGCTTCCAGGTTTTTCATGGTGGTCTAGCTCCACTTGACACATGACTTCGCCTATTAAAATTTCTAAAATCTCCAAAAAACCTCTTCTGATAATTTCATTATTTAATAGAACAAAATAAGAAGTGTCATACTTAAATAAAATGCGAAATTAAATGACCAAATTATGTCTCAAATGTTTCGATTCTAATAAGAGACTACCAGTCAACTCTTTACTACCTAACTTCGGCTGTTACAACTGCACAAAACAAGTAGAGTCTTACTGAAGTGATTTACTTTATTAGATAGGACGGATTAGAGAAGTAAATGGGGCGATTCATGGCGTGCAAGCTCACTATCTTACGCTAGTCATTCTTAGCATTGACAATTTCAACAAACTATTCGAAGTTCAGTGATCAGACTTAGAAATGGTTCAGATTGATGGATGATTTGGCCAGGACTCAGAGAGGTCTCACTAGGCCTACAAACTCTTCTATAAGCTTCTGTTTTTTATTCAGTTCACAGTCAAAAAATCTAATCATAACGATGACAAATGGTTTGTCAATACCTAAGTACTGGCCAAGGAATAGATATGTAAGCGTCTGAAATACACAAAACATCTCAGTACTGTCGTATCAGAAATATGCATCTGACTAGTCCCGACAAACTTGTGACATCCAACTGAAAATTAATAATATCCTTATGGGAAATGCAGTTCCAAGAAAAGCAGAGAATATTCCGCCTGCAAGAAACCAAGAAGACAAAATATACTGTAAGTGGTGACTGTCACCGACCACAGATGCCGCCAACGCGTTCAACAGAATGGGGTCTGGGTGATGAAGCTTCGTTTTGCACAAAAGTGCCGAGTTTTGCATATTCGTTTGTTGTCTTTCTGTGGATACCGTAGTACATGAATTCGGGTTTTTCATATATTGTCACAATATCGAACTCCTGATAGAGATGGCTGTACACTTGACTTGATATATTAACTGATCTCAGTTCGTGTCATTTGCAATAAATCTGGCAACCATACCTTGTTCATTTGTTGCGTACAGCTTTATGAATTGCAAGTAGACTCAGTTATTCTATGGTTGAACATTAGGCATGGACACTAAGGAGGTTGTTTGAACCATTGATCCCTATCATGTAACCGGTTAAGTTGTCTGCTATTTGGGTTTTGACTTCGCGTTAGGTAGTCATTCGACAGTGTCATGTATGATTTTCTACTAATTTATTCAAACATAAGTTTTGTCCGTTGTTTAGTTGACTGCAGGTGCCCTAGTTTGTACAGGAACGGATGTTTATGTAGATATCTTGTTACAGTACCAAGAGTTTGGGTTGGCAGTAAACCTAAGACTCATCAGAGTATTTGTGTGAATGGAAATTTGCCAGACTAAGTTGTGATCCAGGTCCTTTTAGTTCTACACATCAACACTCATGGACTTCTCATCATGTAAGCACCTTCCGTGCTTCTTTGAAGAGCAAACATGCAACTCCTTGTGTAGAGCAATTTCTTCATCGTAACCGAAATACAATGATAATTCCTCGAGCCGTCCCTTTCCGTCCAGATTGTGTTCAGTAGGTTCCACCTATTCCAAGCAGAATCAGGTTTTATCTTCATTTCCGCCGCTGTTTGATTGACCTTCCCAAATTCTCTGTACATTTAGTGTATACATTTACCTTTGCTCTAGTTGCCAAACGAGGTATAGGGCCTATGGTCCTCAAAGACTCTGCTCTTACCATGAAATGTTACTAGTTCCATATTAAGACCCTTCAATTCTCAGGGCACAGGTTGAGTGGTGTGGATGGTTTTTCTGCGTGTCCTTCTTCTTAATTAAAATCATATCTTCAGCCTCCGCCAAATGGTAGGACACCTCCATACTTTTCAATTGCTAACAATCGTAGTGTTTCTTGACATCAGGGCTGCCTTCGATTCGTTGGATAGGATTGTTCTCTGGGATTGTCTATTGAAGAAGGGTGTGCCTGAGAAGTTTATTAACATCGTGAAAGCCCTATACACAAACACCTCAGGCAGAGTGAGGGCATTCAACCACCTCTCTCCATTGTTCCATTCAAGCAGTGGGGTTAGGCAGGGTTGCCGAATCTCACTATTCCTCTTCAACTTTGCCATCGATGATATTCTGGAAACGGCTCTGATGAATGTAAGTAATGGTGGTGTGGATCTGTTGCCTGGAGAAAGACTTCTCGACCTTGAGTATGCGGATGATGTCTTACTGTGCGATAATGCTCAAGACATGCAGTCCGCACTTAATCAGTTGGCAATCAGTGTCCGTAAGTATGGTACGTACTTTGCACCTTCTAGACTTACAGGACCCTGATCCTGTACTCACCCTGGATGGTGAGCAGATAGAAGTAGTCGAGAAGTTCGTGTATCTAGGTGGCTGCATAAGTGTTGGTGGTGGCGTGAGTGATGAGACCAATACACATATAGTGAAAGCCAGAGCGGCTTATGCCAATCTGGGCTATCTTTGGCGCCTTCGTGATGTTAGTCTGGCTGTAAAAGGTCGGATCTACAACGCGTCGGTGAGAGCAGTTCTGCTCCATGCTTGTGAAACCGGGCCTCTCCGAGTTGAGGACGTTAGACGACTCTCTGTGTTCGATCATCGCTGTCTCCAAAGGTTTGCTGATATCCAGTGGCAACACCATGTCAGTAATGCAGAAGTTCGGCATCGTGTGTTCGGGCACAGAGATGATAATGCAATCGATGTCACCATCTTGAAACATCGACTTCGATGGCTTGAACACGTTTTACGAATGTCGTCCCAGAGAATTCCACGTCGTGCATTATTTGCCGACTCTGGGACTGGTTGGAAGAAGCGGAGAAGTGGTCGGTGCATGACATGGTGTCGTGGTATGAAAGAAAGCTGTAAAGGACTGGCTTCTGTCGGTCCTTCACGACTCCCTGGTTGGGGTCCGAGAGATGGTGCTACACAGTGGCTAGAGACGTTATCAGATATGGCTCAGAGTAGAAGCCAGTGGCGATCCTGCTGTGACCTTCCCTTACTTTCTTCATAAAAAGTGGTTGTATCTTCCTTAACTGAAAGATTTCTTCTGATTGTACCTTTCCGTCCCCTCATTATTACTACACTACCTTGCACCAACCTTTTCGTTATTTTTCTCTTTTTTTCTACGCTCGTTACCTTTTCTTTTCTTTGTCTTCGAATTCTCATTGTTTTGTATGGCGCATATATATTGTCGCTCTCTTGTACCAATATTTATGTGTTCAAATAAATAATAAATAAACAGTAATAATAATAATATAGTCATTTTCATTTCATTTGTGTGCGGGCTATGATACTGCCCGAGTGCCCAGACCGAAGCAGGTGATTTTCTTAGGGGGCCACACCCCGAGCCTTTGACCTAAAGGTCTGACCCACAATGCAGGTAAAAGCTTATCCCTGTGTAAACTCTATATCGTTTCAAGCATTCAAAAACTTGAGCATCACTACTGTAAACACATTTAGACTAACCAGTAGCTCCAGATACAGCGGCCAGTTCTTTAGCTTTTTTCTTTTCCAATTTCTCTAATTCATCACGAAGCCATGCGGGGAGAGCACGAGGTTTGGTATTACCACCTCCGGTTTGTTCTGGTTCTAAATTTTTTGGAGGCCAAACTCCAGTGCTTGCAGCAGCTTCCTCTGGACAGTGTTTTAAATTGTAAAATAATGACCGAGAAAACCCGGATAATTAAAAACGGGATTATCAAACTGAAGAGGAACGAATCATAAGTAATGTTAGTTTGCTTTTATCAAACACGGATTCGTTCATTTACTCATTGATTATGCAATCTTCTCTTAATTTAATTATAGCATCACCACTCATTGGTGCAATGCATAACTCTAGTATACAAATTGTACTAGAATATTTCCTATAAATGTATAATTTATAAACCAAAAAGCCTGTTATTTTCAAATTACAGAAAGGCCTGCCAGTTTCTATTGATTAAGAACCCGTTAGAGTGAAGTGAAGCTTAAAATCGTTGAACGGCATCACTTTTAGCTACAATAAAACTAGGATGAAATATGAAGAGAATTTTATCATACTAAGCATAAACTAACACGGTTTTTGAATTATAACTACTCCATGAAGACACTGACAACTGGATTGACTCATGTGTACACCACTTGGTTGGGATCCGCGTGAATACTGTAATTAATGGTCATAGACTTTGAATGACATGGTTCAAAATCGTTTGCAATGACACAGATACATATATTCTCTGTCTTTCCAGAATTCTGAAATTCTATTGTGTTATTTTACTATTTTTTGGAAATAGGCCTTCGATGCTTAATCTTTTCGATTAATACGAATACTGTACCTCTACAATCCTGAGATTTGATCTGAAAATTTCATTTTTCTGCGCTAATGGAGTACGGCAACTTGAAAAGATATACAGACGTACTGGGTTCTACGTTACGACTGACTGACTTTTAATTATCAGACAACGGAAATAATAGACTCATTCATACTTTGTCCACAAACACGAGAGTTTAGGATATTTGGTTCCAAAATAAACCAACCTCAACAAATTCCCTTATCTACTCATAGAACATTCCAACAAACTATATAGTATAACGAGGGAGTCCTAATCGAAAGATCAAACTTACAAAGTCAGTCGCGAAGTAGGATTTTATAAAGAATATAATTCTGCTAAGCAGTATGTTGCGATACTTTCAAATAAAATCCTACCATAAGGCAAAAAATCAATACATTAAAGACATCAAGTGTGAACAAAAAAGAAGATATTATGAGGGCCCACCGAAAGCTGTCATTAGGTGTTCCGGAACGGGCAGATGTGTGATACGACCTCTGGGCTTACACGAAGATTCAATAATGGGAGTTGGGATAAGCGAAATCGGTCTAGGATCAGCCAAGGCTTTATTTGCAATAGCCGACGGAAATATTGCCGGGCTTGTGTGACCACTGTCGCTAGGCAGAATAGGACGAGTATCCACATCCTTCCAATTTTCTTCCATACTACCAGACGGAACTGTAGGACTCTGTATTGTTATGCGGTAGTCGTGATCATGACATCCACGGAATTGATTACCTTCATTCACAGATGTATCTTCACTGAGAGGAATATATTTAAGTTCATCCTGCATAAAAGTAAAGAGGAATGTTATCTCTTTTTAATAAATTACTTCAAGAAGCAATATTTACAAGCAATGAATTTCTAAGAATAATGTAATATGCTTAAAATTTTGTAGTTTCATTGCTCACAACGTGCTACAGTTAAACGGTCTACACTTGAACATGATTAATTCATTAAAAAATTAAAATACTAAACATCCATGTGTCTTAAGTAGTGATTTCCCTAAACAAAAAAGAGCATCAAATCATTAAACCTCATACTACAACTAGGTTTGAACCTACAGTTAACAAGATCCTCAAAATAAGCTCCAATATTACTAACGACAAGAGTTTTAACCAACAAACTCAACTTACCACACAAGATAATTTATCTGCAGTACATTAGTTACAAATTGATAAGCGATGTTACAAAGGATATCTTTTTAAAATAATACTGGTTGAATTCAAAGAAATATTTAAGCACATAGGACACTTAAAAACGAAATTCTTTGAAACCCATAAATTAGTAAACCCCAAACAAACCCACAACTCTCACTTGATATTGATAACTCGGACGGTGAAGGTGCATATCGTTGAATGGCTCAGGTGGAGGAAAGCTTTCTACGGGTTGGAAAGACTCGGGATTTCTAGGCCACATGTTACGATTATTCTGGTTAGAACGTGGATAGGGTTGGTTATAAGGATTAGCCGGTCTGACAGCTGACGAGTTAAATGACCTTTCAAGAGAGTAAGAATGGTTATAATCATAAACTTCTGAAGCGTGAGAACCATAATCGCAATCACCCTGATCATTTTGAGTCCATCTCTTTTGATAGCGTGTGTTTTGACCCGTATGGCCACTCCCCACAGTGTAATACTGTTCCTCATAAGACTTACAATGTATACCAGGATTGTTTGAATTTTCACTGGAAGGATAATTGATTTGATGGTGATTATGTTCATAATATTGAGACGAAGGACCTGGCAGGGAAATGGTATTACTATATCCCTGTGGAACTTGGTTACCATAAGAGTGACTTTCATGTGCCGACCATTTGCTTTGTAAGCTTGCTTGTGAAGGCCAAGCATTCTGGGAACGCTCATGATTATTATAGGATGGCCAAGCACTTTGAGGAGGACCATGATATCGAGGTGCCGTACACGAATTCTGTGAATATGCTTGACCGCTATTTGTAGACCACGAATTTTGCGAGACCCTGGAATTTTCGAATGAAGACCAAGAACTCTGTGGAGCCCCCTGATTTTCAGGTACTGAGCACATACTTTGTGAGGGAAGGGGGTTCTCTTGTGCACATAATAGGGAGTTTTGGATTAATAGGTGGCTGGAGTCAACTCTGGATGCATTGGAAACTAAGTTGCTTGTATTTGACTGGATTTGAGTTGCTGGTATAAAAGCGATTGGTGGCGGAGGCGGAGAAGGAGGGGGTGGTGGGGGTGGAGGTGGAGGTGGAGGAGGAGGAGGAGGAGGTAGAGCTACGTTGTTAGTGTAATGAGGCTGCAATTGGCTACTACGCTGATGAGCCCACTGTCGAGCTAGGGCTCCCCAGCCATCAGAATTATCCACTTTTTCCTCAACGGATGGTGGAGGGCCATGAATGAGGGATTTTGTCCAGGCAGCAGCGGAGAAATGAGGCCACATAGCTGGAAAAACAATAGACATTAGTTAATAACCGGATTAATAGTTCATTTTAGCTATCATCTGATTAAAAGTCACAATACATTAAAAAACATTGACAAAAATATGAATTCCAAATGTACATTAGTGGATCTACAACGGTAATAAGTTTGGCCTTATTATCTATTGTCCAAATGTAGCAATTACACTAACGTGTTGGTTTAGGCTACCTATCATAATGACTCAATCGAGATGCACTAGATCAGACTTTTGTTCCTGCAGGTCCTACCATGCGAGTCAAATGATTTGAAAACAACAGTACCATTAAGAGCAGCAACTTAATGTTCGAGAGAGAAGTAATACCACTGACCGCACAAATGCATGGCTCATATAACCAATATATGAAACGATGGTGACTCCAAACAACGGAGAGGGGTAAGAAATGTCGATGTCTAAAAATGTCACAACTAAACCTAAAGAATTTCGTCTCTGATTGTAAGACCTTTAAAAGAAATGTTATCTCTGGTCCGCTAGAACCGTGTAACAAACTACAAATAGTGGAGATCACAATAATAAAACGTGCCGAATATCACAGCAGGATAACAAAGATAGGACTCCAGAACACTGTCTGCAGATCTCCAATGCAGCGGTCTCGCATATCAGGCTATAGCACTAAGTTCACAATCAGAACAAGTTTTCTTGAACTGGACTCTGACAGACAGTCGCTTTTGTGCTGTCCGACTAAACGGGACAAAACCTCGATAATATGAGGGCACACCGTTGCCTCGGCCTACGCTTTGGATCAAGGAGAAGGTGAGTTTCATGGAAAGCCTTCCGACCTCCAAAAAGCCAAACACTCAGATATAGTCCTGGTGGGAGGTAATTGTTATTTTTAGGTAGATAGTTTAAATCAAACTGAAAGTCAGTTAGGTGGGTCTTACGGTATTGCGGCTCGCAGAACAGATAACGACAAACGGATGCAGTAATTACGCACAAATAGCAGCTTGGTTATAACAAGCGCCAACTTTAAACACCATCTGATACGGCGACCTCACAATCGGATCAGCGATGGACGCAAATAGACCACATCGCCATCAGACGTCGTTGGAGGAGATCAACAGTAGGCTGTCGACCGTACTGGGACGCATGTTTAGACTGGAGTCGCAGTCTAGTGCAAGCACGTATTTAGCTGCATCTTACTGGACGTAGGAAAGGCACAACAAAACCCCTGAGGTTCAACTTAATGAACATATTTCAGGAACAACTAATCAATCATGAGTGATATTCATTTCGAGGCAGTCGGACATGGTGCTCAAACAGCTGTGATACCTACCAGTAACTTGGGCCAGAACGTGAAGAGATATCAATGGATTTCAGCAGCGCCCACTGAACTGATGGATGCTCGAGAATTCATCACGTCTTGGCCTGAACACGATAAGGAGCGTAGGCAGCTTAAACTCAGCCCGATAAAAAGCCTACGCAATGGTCACCTAAGGTTATTGGTACGCATTGAGTATGTCTAACTACCGCTTCCTTCAACAGGGATGTCTGGTGTAGGAACAGACTGAGAGACCAGTGGGAGGTGAAACTAAGACACGGCACCAGTCCATGGAGTCATTGACCATTGGGCTGAGCTATGCAGATAAGTGTAGACAGCACGGTTGGAATCCGCGAATATCGAAACCAACTGTTAGAGATTTTGGTTGACATGGTCCAGAATCTTCGCAATAACGTAGGTGGATTCACTCATTTCCTAAAACCTGAGTCCCAAAATCTCGATACATTTTCTTTTTTCTATACCTGATCTTCTCAATTGCTACTCCCAGTACTCTAGGATTTGTCCTGAAATGATCTTATTGCAATGTGGTGATGCGGTCTGGTAAAGCAAACCGATAATGATGTGTCTACTAGTGTCGTGTAAAATCGGCTTCTTATTTAACAATTTAAGCATATAAAATCGGGCACCAAAAGTAGAGCATGTCTCAAGGCTCCTGATCAGGCAGAAAAATCGAAGATCTCTAAATAACTTCTGGTTGGATGACTTTATTCTGAGTCACTGGAAGTAAAATGAAAGCCTGTCTGCCAAGAAATTGATCAAAGTTATCACAACTAGAAGATAAGAGCAAGCGTTGCCAATTACCCGAAAACAACCAGATTGTCCTCTTGTCCATCAAGTGAAACAAGTTTCGAGTGATGGAAAAGAAAGTAGTTGATATGAAATTAGTAGTACTTGACTTTACGTATGTTAGTGCTATCTAATCTTGAACTCAATAGTAGATTAGTACTTCTCGATCTCAGTCAGTACAGAGTGGTACGTATAGGTGTGTGCAGTTTAATTATAAGCAGGTATAATTACCGGGACTCTGAATCTTCAATCTGACGGTTCATTCATGGAATTAAAGGATTTGGGCTACAATCCCTGTGGTAGTGTTGCGCGATACTGCACTTGAATGCTAGATCTTAAGTTATGAATACATTGCCAAAACTCGGAAAGCTATATGGTGCAGTTAAGCGACGGATTAGCTTAAGGTAATGTTTCAATTATCTATATCCTCAACATAATTTAAATTGACTTACTCAATTAATTTGGTTAGTGAGTCAAGCTCTCTTGCGAGCTGATTAGGTCGGACTACGTACTCGTTCTAGATTGTCCAAAATATAGAGTCCGACAACAGCCATCTAACATTTAATTGGGTAGGCATCTTCTGAGAAATGGTGTCAGGGTTTCCGTTAGATTTATCCCAATTTAAGACAAAGGACTAGTGACTCGAGCTTCTTGTCATTATCAAAAAGCTGACATATCACCGTAAGCAATCAACGCGAATGAGTTCGTGCACAGTCCAGGCACTACCTGACAAGGTACGGAGCCACGTGCTCTTTGCCACAACGGTTGTACAAACGTCCAAAACCCCGAATAGACCCAGAGCATGCCATCATTAGAACTGTATATGCCGAAAACTGAGATGTACCAAGCACAGTCTTCCGTAATCCCCACTTAGCCAGTGGCTCAGTGATGGGCATATAGCCCTTGATACATATATGACACTGCACGGAGCCTCTGTTCCGATCGCTAGTTAAGGACCTAGTGTAGAGTTAGCAACCCCACCTCGAGAGGAAAATTCTAACTAAGGAGAAGGACACGCAGAAAAACCATCCACACCACTCAACCTGTGCCCTGAGAATTGAAGGGTCTTAATATGGAACTAGTAACATTTCATGGTAAGAGCAGAGTCTTTGAGGACCATAGGCCCTATACCTCGTTTGGCAACTAGAGCAAAGGTAAATGTATACACTAAATGTACAGAGAATTTGGGAAGGTCAATCAAACAGCGGCGGAAATGAAGATAAAACCTGATTCTGCTTGGAATAGGTGGAACCTACTGAACACAATCTGGACGGAAAGGGACGGCTCGAGGAATTATCATTGTATTTCGGTTACGATGAAGAAATTGCTCTACACAAGGAGTTGCATGTTTGCTCTTCAAAGAAGCACGGAAGGTGCTTACATGATGAGAAGTCCATGAGTGTTGATGTGTAGAACTAAAAGGACCTGGATCACAACTTAGTCTGGCAAATTTCCATTCACACAAATACTCTGATGAGTCTTAGGTTTACTGCCAACCCAAACTCTTGGTACTGTAACAAGATATCTACATAAACATCCGTTCCTGTACAAACTAGGGCACCTGCAGTCAACTAAACAACGGACAAAACTTATGTTTGAATAAATTAGTAGAAAATCATACATGACACTGTCGAATGACTACCTAACGCGAAGTCAAAACCCAAATAGCAGACAACTTAACCGGTTACATGATAGGGATCAATGGTTCAAACAACCTCCTTAGTGTCCATGCCTAATGTTCAACCATAGAATAACTGAGTCTACTTGCAATTCATAAAGCTGTACGCAACAAATGAACAAGGTATGGTTGCCAGATTTATTGCAAATGACACGAACTGAGATCAGTTAATATATCAAGTCAAGTGTACAGCCATCTCTATCAGGAGTTCGATATTGTGACAATATATGAAAAACCCGAATTCATGTACTACGGTATCCACAGAAAGGCAACAAACGAATATGCAAAACTCGGCACTTTTGTGCAAAACGAAGCTTCATCACCCAGACCCCATTCTGTTGAACGCGTTGGCGGCATCTGTGGTCGGTGACAGTCACCACTTACAGTATATTTTGTCTTCTTGGTTTCTTGCAGGCGGAATATTCTCTGCTTTTCTTGGAACTGCATTTCCCATAAGGATATTATTAATTTTCAGTTGGATGTCACAAGTTTGTCGGGACTAGTCAGATGCATATTTCTGATACGACAGTACTGAGATGTTTTGTGTATTTCAGACGCTTACATATCTATTCCTTGGCCAGTACTTAGGTATTGACAAACCATTTGTCATCGTTATGATTAGATTTTTTGACTGTGAACTGAATAAAAAACAGAAGCTTATAGAAGAGTTTGTAGGCCTAGTGAGACCTCTCTGAGTCCTGGCCAAATCATCCATCAATCTGAACCATTTCTAAGTCTGATCACTGAACTTCGAATAGTTTGTTGAAATTGTCAATGCTAAGAATGACTAGCGTAAGATAGTGAGCTTGCACGCCATGAATCGCCCCATTTACTTCTCTAATCCGTCCTATCTAATAAAGTAAATCACTTCAGTAAGACTCTACTTGTTTTGTGCAGTTGTAACAGCCGAAGTTAGGTAGTAAAGAGTTGACTGGTAGTCTCTTATTAGAATCGAAACATTTGAGACATAATTTGGTCATTTAATTTCGCATTTTATTTAAGTATGACACTTCTCATTTTGTTCTAATATGTATGATTAAATATTTGCGTTTTTAAACTGTCTCTCTACTCTTTCTACTCGCTTCTTGTGTTCTGTGATATAAGGTGGAACCCACTTCTAAAACTTTCTAATCCTAATAGTACGACGATGGGTTAAATATTAGTCCAAAACAATCTCGAAAGAAGCTATATTACTTGTAAACTACGTTAAAGTGGTCTCATATAGTTGATCTGCAAATTCAGGCGCTAGTTGTTATTTACAGTCAGCTCGTCATTCGATAGAATTGCGCATATTTCATAGTTCATTGAATCTCAGTACTTCAATTCGTCTCTAGCTTTTGTATGAGGTATGTCTGCGCAAAAATACCCTTAAACAAGCGACAGAATATGTGTCGTCACTGAGAAGTTATACAATTGACATGTAACATTGAGTAGTTCCACAAATAATTAGTTTTCTATGTGATCGGCATTGGTACTAACCATGTTAATTTTAATAAACCCTAATTGGAAGGAAGCACTTGATCAAGCATTCCGCTAGGCTGAGTTTCGAAGTACCGTGGTACAAATTTCGTTATACAACTAAAAAATTTAAAAGTTATAAGTTACGTTACTTCTGGACACGAGAAATGTGTATTTTTGAATCCGTTCACCATCGCCGTCTTTCTTAAATGCGTCACGATCACTTAGTTAAAAAGGATTCGCATATCACCGTTGTTGAATTTTGCTGTATCCGACAGCCTTCCATCGATGATCGTTACTTCATCTGGTAAAATGAATGATAGATTCTGAAAACGTTTGTTCGTTGGCCCTCTTTAAACCTTCTATAAATTTTTATACGTTTTTGTGTTATAGAATATGGTGCAGTTCGGTAATAGTACATTTTTCTTCGCTAATATTATAAGAGATCTAATCTAAAAATTTTGGATTTAAAAATATGACTATCTAATTTATGAAATTTAAGGTGGAATTTGCATCGTTGTCATTTTGACTGGTCCTTTAATGGTCATCAGCAGTGCAATGTTTAGCACGCTTGAAGAACGCATTCGGGGTGAAGATATAGTAATATATTTAGTGTAAGGATAGGTCACATAGAATGGTCACGCATGAAAAACTGTTCCATATCACAAAAACCAATTGTCTCCGTGTTCTTCACTTTTGACCTTCACTAAGCGTTACTCGTTGAATGTAAACCTTTTTCAGTAATTATACGCTCAGCTTGAAAAATCGTATGGTTAAAAACAAAAAACACTGAACTACTCTTCCACCAGAATCAATGTGACGTTAGTTGGACATCAAATGTGTGGGTATGTTACGCTCCGGAAGTTACCAAACCAATGATAGGAATCCCCCAGGTATTGATAAACTGAAATATAAATCAAAAAGTGGCAACAACTGGTCATGAGATAGTGCAATAATTCCAAAATATTTGGTTTAATTCTCAACACGCACTAAATGAAATTCTACGTGAATGTCATTCAAGAGGTAAATAAAAGGGCATTATCATAATGAAGGATGATTTAGTACAGAGATATTTTCACAAGTCACGTCAAGATGTATAGTAACCTCTATTGGTTAAGAACTTTATTCATGGCAGTATAAGAATGTTGTGCTTATACACAGGAAAAACAACTAATATTATAGAAATGTTGATATTGGATTTATCTTTGGTTTTGATTAGAAAGTCAGTCAACGTTTATGCCGGTATGTCGTCCGTATGAGTTCATTTCCAATTGTATCTGCACTAGTAGACTAACTGGAAGAATGAAAGGATTGTAACAGCTTAGGTTGGTTGGTTAAGTGTTAAACTCAATCAACTATGAATATGTCAAGACAGTATAGTTCAAGTAACCATTGACTTCCTTATTTTGTATATATGTTATTTCTCTTATTATCTTATATTGAGTGTTGAGAGGATTTGTTTGTCTGAACAGACAATCACACGCTACACTGTGACTGCGCGAAGATCTAAATAAAGACCTATTTACTACTTGTCTGGTTTCTTCTATCAATAGCACGAGGGCTACCTGCAGGCACGAAAGGATAACCGAGGACAGGAAGAATTCCGACCAGTGTTTCAGTTAGTTTGCTAAGTTTGGTGCGGTTTAATTAGTTGCCTGTAGATTTTTTCCGGCCTCATTACTGCTTACCCGCGACGGGATTTAATTAGACTACCAATACATATGAATTTTTATGAGAACTTTAAATAAGTGGGAATCGTGATGACCATGTGTATTTTGGACAGATAGCTAACAGCAATTGGTAAAATATGGATGAGTCCTTGAGAGTCATACCCTAGACTGAATGCCTTGATATACACAAGACCAATTACTTATATTCATACCTACCAGCTGATGGTGCATACAAGTCAGTTGCAAGCATTGTGTTTGATACAAGGTAGAAATCCACTCATTTGAAATAGAGTGATTATAAAGTGTTGATATCGACTAAGCTTTTGTGCCACAGATGTACGTGACACGATGTTTTAAGATGCTTTCGGCTGAATAAATCTTTACAGGATGGTAAAAAGTGAGTGGTGATCATGTGATTATCAGGGGGAGCAAAAGTTGAAATCAAGGGGAGTACAACACCCATTTTATGTCTATGATAATGGCATGAATCTTTTTAAGAAGTGGGGTAAATCCGACTGTGATGTTTTCACTGTGCAGAAGATTTGCTTGATTGCTTATACCGAGGATTTGCATGCATGGTTGTGTCGCTAATTAGACCGACAAGATTCCAAGACATTTACTGAATGAGAAACTGATAGAGAAACATATTGAAATCATCTATAGTAGATGAAGACGACCACAAGAAGACGACATTATCTGGTGATAATCAAAAGTCGATTTGTCTGCCGAGTATGCCAATCGTTTCGTCACTTTTATCAGTCATCTTACGTGATTGTCAAGTCATGATAGGACTTTATGACGATATTCAGAGTTGAATATCTAGTTGATGTTGATTAGGTGTTAGCTAGTTGGGAGTGGGCATGTGATTCGGAAATATCAGAAGTTTTAGCATAAACGGACCCAAGCTGCCTGCTTATATTTCAAATTGCGATTTAGAAGTATTCGTCCACAAAACCCCTTCTGATAAAAATAATCTGCTCACTATGGATTGACTCCAAGTGGCATTTCCTGGAGTTCTAGTGAGAAGACGTTATCAGTGGAGTTCAACCAGGTCTCCTGTGATATATTAGACAATGGTGTACGGTGGCACAATTTCGTGGACTAGTTGGAGCTAAACATTAACACAGTTGGATGTCCGCTCAGTTGTCTAATGGTTAAGAGATCGCGCGCGGGACTGATAGGTCATGGGTTCCAAACTCGCGGCGGGGTGGGACCGAGGATGCGCACTGCTGAAGAGTCACAAACTAGGAAGAAGGGCCGTCCGGTGCTTCCAGGTTTTTCATGGTGGTCTAGCTCCACTTGACACATGACTTCGCCTATTAAAATTTCTAAAATCTCCAAAAAACCTCTTCTGATAATTTCATTATTTAATAGAACAAAATAAGAAGTGTCATACTTAAATAAAATGCGAAATTAAATGACCAAATTATGTCTCAAATGTTTCGATTCTAATAAGAGACTACCAGTCAACTCTTTACTACCTAACTTCGGCTGTTACAACTGCACAAAACAAGTAGAGTCTTACTGAAGTGATTTACTTTATTAGATAGGACGGATTAGAGAAGTAAATGGGGCGATTCATGGCGTGCAAGCTCACTATCTTACGCTAGTCATTCTTAGCATTGACAATTTCAACAAACTATTCGAAGTTCAGTGATCAGACTTAGAAATGGTTCAGATTGATGGATGATTTGGCCAGGACTCAGAGAGGTCTCACTAGGCCTACAAACTCTTCTATAAGCTTCTGTTTTTTATTCAGTTCACAGTCAAAAAATCTAATCATAACGATGACAAATGGTTTGTCAATACCTAAGTACTGGCCAAGGAATAGATATGTAAGCGTCTGAAATACACAAAACATCTCAGTACTGTCGTATCAGAAATATGCATCTGACTAGTCCCGACAAACTTGTGACATCCAACTGAAAATTAATAATATCCTTATGGGAAATGCAGTTCCAAGAAAAGCAGAGAATATTCCGCCTGCAAGAAACCAAGAAGACAAAATATACTGTAAGTGGTGACTGTCACCGACCACAGATGCCGCCAACGCGTTCAACAGAATGGGGTCTGGGTGATGAAGCTTCGTTTTGCACAAAAGTGCCGAGTTTTGCATATTCGTTTGTTGCCTTTCTGTGGATACCGTAGTACATGAATTCGGGTTTTTCATATATTGTCACAATATCGAACTCCTGATAGAGATGGCTGTACACTTGACTTGATATATTAACTGATCTCAGTTCGTGTCATTTGCAATAAATCTGGCAACCATACCTTGTTCATTTGTTGCGTACAGCTTTATGAATTGCAAGTAGACTCAGTTATTCTATGGTTGAACATTAGGCATGGACACTAAGGAGGTTGTTTGAACCATTGATCCCTATCATGTAACCGGTTAAGTTGTCTGCTATTTGGGTTTTGACTTCGCGTTAGGTAGTCATTCGACAGTGTCATGTATGATTTTCTACTAATTTATTCAAACATAAGTTTTGTCCGTTGTTTAGTTGACTGCAGGTGCCCTAGTTTGTACAGGAACGGATGTTTATGTAGATATCTTGTTACAGTACCAAGAGTTTGGGTTGGCAGTAAACCTAAGACTCATCAGAGTATTTGTGTGAATGGAAATTTGCCAGACTAAGTTGTGATCCAGGTCCTTTTAGTTCTACACATCAACACTCATGGACTTCTCATCATGTAAGCACCTTCCGTGCTTCTTTGAAGAGCAAACATGCAACTCCTTGTGTAGAGCAATTTCTTCATCGTAACCGAAATACAATGATAATTCCTCGAGCCGTCCCTTTCCGTCCAGATTGTGTTCAGTAGGTTCCACCTATTCCAAGCAGAATCAGGTTTTATCTTCATTTCCGCCGCTGTTTGATTGACCTTCCCAAATTCTCTGTACATTTAGTGTATACATTTACCTTTGCTCTAGTTGCCAAACGAGGTATAGGGCCTATGGTCCTCAAAGACTCTGCTCTTACCATGAAATGTTACTAGTTCCATATTAAGACCCTTCAATTCTCAGGGCACAGGTTGAGTGGTGTGGATGGTTTTTTCTGCGTGTCCTTCTCCTTAGTTAGAATTTTCCTCTCGAGGTGGGGTTGCTAACTCTACACTAGGTCCTTAACTAGCGATCGGAACAGAGGCTCCGTGCAGTGTCATATATGTATCAAGGGCTATATGCCCATCACTGAGCCACTGGCTAAGTGGGGATTACGGAAGACTGTGCTTGGTACATCTCAGTTTTCGGCATATACAGTTCTAATGATGGCATGCTCTGGGTCTATTCGGGGTTTTGGACGTTTGTACAACCGTTGTGGCAAAGAGCACGTGGCTCCGTACCTTGTCAGGTAGTGCCTGGACTGTGCACGAACTCATTCGCGTTGATTGCTTACGGTGATATGTCAGCTTTTTGATAATGACAAGAAGCTCGAGTCACTAGTCCTTTGTCTTAAATTGGGATAAATCTAACGGAAACCCTGACACCATTTCTCAGAAGATGCCTACCCAATTAAATGTTAGATGGCTGTTGTCGGACTCTATATTTTGGACAATCTAGAACGAGTACGTAGTCCGACCTAATCAGCTCGCAAGAGAGCTTGACTCACTAACCAAATTAATTGAGTAAGTCAATTTAAATTATGTTGAGGATATAGATAATTGAAACATTACCTTAAGCTAATCCGTCGCTTAACTGCACCATATAGCTTTCCGAGTTTTGGCAATGTATTCATAACTTAAGATCTAGCATTCAAGTGCAGTATCGCGCAACACTACCACAGGGATTGTAGCCCAAATCCTTTAATTCCATGAATGAACCGTCAGATTGAAGATTCAGAGTCCCGGTAATTATACCTGCTTATAATTAAACTGCACACACCTATACGTACCACTCTGTACTGACTGAGATCGAGAAGTACTAATCTACTATTGAGTTCAAGATTAGATAGCACTAACATACGTAAAGTCAAGTACTACTAATTTCATATCAACTACTTTCTTTTCCATCACTCGAAACTTGTTTCACTTGATGGACAAGAGGACAATCTGGTTGTTTTCGGGTAATTGGCAACGCTTGCTCTTATCTTCTAGTTGTGATAACTTTGATCAATTTCTTGGCAGACAGGCTTTCATTTTACTTCCAGTGACTCAGAATAAAGTCATCCAACCAGAAGTTATTTAGAGATCTTCGATTTTTCTGCCTGATCAGGAGCCTTGAGACATGCTCTACTTTTGGTGCCCGATTTTATATGCTTAAATTGTTAAATAAGAAGCCGATTTTACACGACACTAGTAGACACATCATTATCGGTTTGCTTTACCAGACCGCATCACCACATTGCAATAAGATCATTTCAGGACAAATCCTAGAGTACTGGGAGTAGCAATTGAGAAGATCAGGTATAGAAAAAAGAAAATGTATCGAGATTTTGGGACTCAGGTTTTAGGAAATGAGTGAATCCACCTACGTTATTGCGAAGATTCTGGACCATGTCAACCAAAATCTCTAACAGTTGGTTTCGATATTCGCGGATTCCAACCGTGCTGTCTACACTTATCTGCATAGCTCAGCCCAATGGTCAATGACTCCATGGACTGGTGCCGTGTCTTAGTTTCACCTCCCACTGGTCTCTCAGTCTGTTCCTACACCAGACATCCCTGTTGAAGGAAGCGGTAGTTAGACATACTCAATGCGTACCAATAACCTTAGGTGACCATTGCGTAGGCTTTTTATCGGGCTGAGTTTAAGCTGCCTACGCTCCTTATCGTGTTCAGGCCAAGACGTGATGAATTCTCGAGCATCCATCAGTTCAGTGGGCGCTGCTGAAATCCATTGATATCTCTTCACGTTCTGGGCCAAGTTACTGGTAGGTATCACAGCTGTTTGAGCACCATGTCCGACTGCCTCGAAATGAATATCACTCATGATTGATTAGTTGTTCCTGAAATATGTTCATTAAGTTGAACCTCAGGGGTTTTGTTGTGCCTTTCCTACGTCCAGTAAGATGCAGCTAAATACGTGCTTGCACTAGACTGCGACTCCAGTCTAAACATGCGTCCCAGTACGGTCGACAGCCTACTGTTGATCTCCTCCAACGACGTCTGATGGCGATGTGGTCTATTTGCGTCCATCGCTGATCCGATTGTGAGGTCGCCGTATCAGATGGTGTTTAAAGTTGGCGCTTGTTATAACCAAGCTGCTATTTGTGCGTAATTACTGCATCCGTTTGTCGTTATCTGTTCTGCGAGCCGCAATACCGTAAGACCCACCTAACTGACTTTCAGTTTGATTTAAACTATCTACCTAAAAATAACAATTACCTCCCACCAGGACTATATCTGAGTGTTTGGCTTTTTGGAGGTCGGAAGGCTTTCCATGAAACTCACCTTCTCCTTGATCCAAAGCGTAGGCCGAGGCAACGGTGTGCCCTCATATTATCGAGGTTTTGTCCCGTTTAGTCGGACAGCACAAAAGCGACTGTCTGTCAGAGTCCAGTTCAAGAAAACTTGTTCTGATTGTGAACTTAGTGCTATAGCCTGATATGCGAGACCGCTGCATTGGAGATATGGAGACAACGTTTTTACTTACGGTTACTTCATTCAAAATTGTTTGTTGTTATGTATTTTCAAGTTCCGTGACATAAGCTGTTTATTTTCAAGTTATGAAAGTTCGGAGGGATAGATCAAGCTTGCTTGTTTCCTTTTAACAAAGTTTATAAAGCCTATAGCTTGACAAAAAATGCATCATTTTCTAGTATATAGTAAGAGGAATGCAGAAGAGAACGGATTTTATTAGATATATTTGTTTTATGAAAATATGTATCAAACTATCATCGTAGCAATGTATATCGTCGTGAAACACAAGAGTCGATTGGAAAAACAGATGAATTATATTGGTGTAATGCTGATAATATGTTTTACAATTGGTGATGCTTACCGCATAATTTCCCGAATAGAAAAGATACGAAACAACTTCGGATATTATGTAGGGAAATGAGATTCAACTTCAGGTTTTAAAGAAATCGGAAATTTTGGTATTCCACCTATCATACAACACACGATCTGCAGCGGCGAAGAGGCCCATTTCGCTTTGTATACCTGGAGAAGATTTTGAGCCAAATCCAAGAGGAGAACCATGCAGTCCGGTAAGACGACCACCGACAGATTCCAAGATTGCTTGTGGTGCACAAACATCCCATCGACGTGTAGTTGATGGGTGAATATACACATCTGCATCTCCTTTGATAAGACTGATAGCTTTAAAGCCTACGTAAGAAACACACATGTAAGCTGGAAGTTACTAAAATACTATGTTACATACTTTAAAAGTATAATTTACTTCATTTCGCACCAGTGATTCACAAATTCATATGGTCATGAGAACGTATTCATGTTACTTTTGATAGTCGTGACTGTTCCTAAAAGTATTTAATATATTTGTATGGTCATACAATACATTGACTACGTTGAAGTCTTAAAATAATATTTATCAACTTATTAAAACATTAGATAACTATTCAGGATAAGTTTCATTGAACAAATCCCAAAATCAAAATTAGTTTAACGTAACATAATTATCTGAAATCAAACAAGATAAGCAGAGCATTCTAAATCAAAATTCATGGAGAACCTTTAACCATTTTGAATCTCACTCTATGTAATTTAAGTAATCAAGGTGATAGAGTAGCTTTGAGTCAGTCAAATTTAATTGACGACTATGCATTATGAGATAATTAATTATCAACCAGTTTCTTAACGTATATTTGTACGAAATCTAATTTCTGAGTAGCTATTGTGATAAAGGTCTGAAAGATGAATATCGTTTATCCACCAAACCGAAAGCTGTTTCTCAGAGCGTTCGTTTGATTATTACAGAAAATGGTACGGCCTTTTGGTTCAAGCTCAGTTAAGGACGATGTTTATTATTAAACTGCAAACAATCCAACCTAAAAATTCATTTCGAAATTCCAAGTGTGGTGACGTACTACAACACTTAATAATTGAACAATTAAAAATACTTCCACCGAAACTTTCAAAAGTACTCCTGTTCATTTATGATGATGATAAATCATTACAAATGTCTAACGTTCCGACTAAATTAAATAAAAAAAATAAGGGTTTAGAATGACTATTACGTCAGGGTAACTAGGATATTGAAATGGGAATTCCAACACAAATTCAAAACAGTCAATGGTTATGGTTTATCTTTACTTCCAGAATATAGGTAAACACGTCAGCAGCTAAAGTACAATCAATCGGAGGCAACGTAGTACCAGGTATGTGTGTACATCAGATCAGGTTGCCATAACCAATGAACACAGCGAGATGTAATTGTTGGGGTAAATCCCAAATTAGTAAAAGTATCAGTGATAACAGGAAAGATTAAGCATCCAAGATATGACCTAAGAACAGATGAATCAGTGAAATAAGAAAAATATGTAAGGAATTTGGGAATCTGGAGTCTGAAGAAAGATAAGGAATGGGTACACCGGTGTACCTGCGGACGATTTGGATCAGTCATTTAACAATTGGTTTCGATATTCGCGCTGATCCCAAGCATACTGTCTACACTTATCTGAACAGCCCAGTCCAACGGTTAATAACTTCATGGACTGGTGCTATGTCTTGTTTTTGCCACCCTATTTTTGCGTACAGCCTACTTCCTACACCAGAGATCCCCTGCTGAGGGAAGAGTTAGTTAGGCATACTTAATAAGTACCTCAAGTGATGAAGATCTACATCATCAACTGACCTGTTATATTTACATAGCATCATATGTTTAACGGTAGAATTACCGACTACATGGTTCAAGAATACACGAGTGGTTTTGACAACACCTACGATCAAACACTGGCAAAATACCACTATCCTCTATTCCCAATGGCTACAATTCATGCCCATAAATTAGGATGGAGCAAACTTCTACACAGTAAACTAGTCCTTTGGTTGGTAGACGGATATACCACCTGTGCCACAAGTTGGTCAAAGTCAACCGAAGTTTCTAAATCTGCGCCGGGATTTCGTCATGTACCAGGTCATCAGGACTGATGAGACTTTCAAGATAAGTGAGGCGGTTGATATGCTCGACTATTTCATGCAATGTCGTCAATTCATGAGTTAATTCAGGAGAGTGCTGAATCTACACTATGCATTAAGGGGAAGAGAATCCCACATTGAAAAAGATTAAATTGTTACTCAAGGCGGTCAGAAGACTGCACTTTATTAACGACTTAACTACGCAGAACCGTATCACCTGCGTATTCTAGTTCAACTAGTAGATCTCCTAGTGGAAAATCAACTTCCGTTGACGAGTGTTATCCATAAAAGATACTGTAACAAAATAAAAATAATGAAGTTGGACGAACACCGTTTGAAGTGGAACAAATCAATAAAACGACTTTTCATTAGTGAATGTATGATGGAAAAGAGTCATGGTTGATGACGTTCAAACGTAACCACCTTAATCTGAAACGTGGTACACGAGAATCTGCGTTGATAAGACTAATGGCTAAATTATAACCCGATGAATAAAATATCACCAGCACCATGGATTAGTGTAATGTCGTACTCAAAAATACTGGTGTAAATGCCTCAGTTCTGCAGGGAGTCAATGACGGCCCAAGAAGATCAGTGGCAGGTTCTCAGAAAGTTAGACTACTTCGAATCCCATAAAGCATAGCAGTTCCCTCAAGATTACGACTAAGCCTTAAAAATAATTACAATGGTGTCTTCCGATAGACTTATATTTAACGTCAGATAGTCCAGTCATAAAAATTTTCGCAATGTTGTTCATTATTAGAAGATTAGCAAGCAGATGAATGTCTGGTTATTGTGTAAATAGTATGTACGATCTGTTTAATAGAAATTTTCCGAAATAAATGGAATATTTGGGATGGTGCTTAGGAAAATAGTTAAACCAACTCGTTTGTCGCTATGCCAATCAAATAATTTTGTGGACTTCTGAGAAGTAAATACCGACAAAGGCAAGTCTACCGGATGCTTGAACACCACTACTCAGAAGTTTGTTTATAGGGCTAATTTAAGGAGTAACTTTTGTAACTTTAAGGCCGGTTTATTATCACGTGATTTATTCGCCAATTGAAATACGACTTATTCAGTCTTAGTACTGTGCGAAACCAATGACGTTCGACCGGTATGAGCAACCTAGAGTCTTTATTGGTCAAGCCAAAAGTGGCTGCGAACGTTGGAGACAATAATCAATAAGCTGAGCATAATTTAAGGATAGTAAATCGTATAATAGTAATCTATAGGTCGAAATGAGGCTCATAACAGGAGGAATATAAATATACACAATCTAGTTATACACTAAGAATATATATAATATTAGTCCACTAATAGTTCTCAGAAGTTACTCGTAATTTAATCTTCGCTGGGATATAACAGTAACGACAGTTACTTCATAGGTAAAATGAAACTACACGTAGCGGAAGGTTCATATCAACTGGTTAAAGTGGAGATGTTAAAGTTTGGTTCGTATCTGTCGGACTATTATGAATGTTTGAATGAAGTCATAATCACAACTCAGTGGCTTGATAAGTTATAAAAAGTGCATAAAAAACAGAAGCTGACAGACATACTAATGTAGTTTTCTATTGCGCTCTATTAAAACAATCGTACGTAATTCCGAAGGGGATGAAATAAATATTTTCAGCGTTTTTTTTACCACACCCGACACGGTTAATTTTCTTCACAAAATTAAGATTGTTTCGTTGTTTTCGATTACCATGGGCTTTTGAGCCTATAAACCGTAAAATTATATTTTTACTAAGATCTGGTATATAACAAATTATAAAAAATTTAACAGATGTAATATGTATTTATAACATTTATCATTATTATGGTCGAATAATCTATTTGTAAGCAAAACATAGAAGTACTACTTACCCGCACCACCTGCTGGTATAAAATGAACTGGTTTCGGATATACAAGTTTGGTCAAATCTTTTATGAATGATTCGTTTAAATGTGAACGCGAATAAGTAATCGACAAATCGTTTTTTAACGAATGAACAGGACGAGAATTTACAGCCATTTGTAAATCAGATGATAATGCATATGAACCCCAACCCCAGTCTATGATGAAACAAAATTAGGATAATATATACTAATCGAGTGAGTAAAATATCTATCAAATGAACTACCATGCGTCGAAGAATTAAAATATTTCGAAGCGAATATTTAAGATCTAATTTAACAGTTATTAAGATAAGGAATTCGAAGAGTAATCTTTCCAACTAAATATACGGTTTTCCCTAATCCAAAGAAAATTTCTTGGTGAAAAACTACTATATTTGAAGACTAGTAGTACAATTTGCATAATTTATAAGATCCTTTTTTGATGACAATTAGTTTACTAGAATATGGTTGTTTTAATTTCAAACGTTTTAGATAAATTCATTTGAATCAATAACTTACGATAAGGAGAAATATTTCCTAATTTTACTTTGTAACGAATGTAATTATTGAGACTTATATTCGAAAAACCTATATACTTATATCCAAAGTAGAGTCAAGAACCTTTCCAGTCATTTGAAATCTCCCATTTAAGTGATGGATACTTAGATAAAATAAGACGATATAGATAATCAGTTGAGTGGATTTTTTAATACTAAAGTTCTCTCGAATAAGAAAATTCGTTAAGTTGCAAAAATTTCCAAATTAATGAATTCTTTTGTTTCTTTAAACTGTTGGTTATTTACATTCCGATATGTAAGCATTTGCAACGTCCATATTATTTTTGATTCATGTTTTGAAGGATTCGATTTAATGGAAAATTATGACTTTTCAGTCTGGTTCGGATATTACAGAACTGAAAATATAATACTTCAAGCTAATTCTCCAAACAACCAGTTATTTAAATTCACTTAAACAAAAAGATGTTGGTAATTAAATTAGATTTATCCGAACCATCAAATAAACTCAATTTACGAAAATGTTGGGTATAACATCATTTTCATACTCTTAGGAGCAACATGAAAATGCGTAAACTGACTGCATACTAATAATAACACGATGGAAACCTGGTGATGAATTATTAAATTTTTTCCCATAAAACTACTTAATTAGTGTACAGAAGACTATTACTGGATTCATAAATCTTTCCAGAGGTGTTTATTTATCGACAGACACAAATACACTGCGTTGTAATTATGAACTACCGCAGAATGGAAGCCTTAGTATACATGACCAGTTTTTTCCTGATTCGGAGGAGAATCATATGATGAGAAAAATATCACTCGCCAGTAACAAAAGCACAATATCAATAGAAAGCAGGAAAAGACACCCCACCGATTCCCAACTTATCATGATTTATGTATGAGAGCAATTATTAACCACTGATAAATATCAACAATAACTAGACAAGAGGAGCGGTGGCTTACTGAATAAGGCACTCGGCCTTCAGTCAATGCAGCAAAGGTTCGAGCTCCGCTCCACCTACCATGATTTGGACAACCGGGTATTATTAACAAGCCCTTTAGAATGTAGCTCAAAGCCAAGTGCATAAATCTGTACCTGGTAGATGAGTTAGTAAACAAAATACACAAGAGGATAAATTCGTCAGCAATTATAGGCAATATAGTTTGCCCAAATAAAACATGATACCAAGATGTAGCATGTAAATGTCCCAAAGACAAACATCTCTTATCATTCACGAGCTCTTCTGATTTGCTGAATACGCTTACAACTACTTTTTCGGGTCCATTTATTTATTGAAATCCAAGCAACCAGGCAATATTAATCAAAACCTTTCAGACAATATATGAGCATCAATGTGGTTACCTAACTGAAATAATTACGTGAAATCTATTACTTCACTTGAAATAGTATGTGCTGTTAAACGAAGCAGTATATTGGTGTTTTTTTATAAATGTCGGTTAACGGACTAAAAGGATATCACAACAAGGTACCCGTCATTTTCTCATTTTTAAACACAGGATTAACTTTTTGAACACCGATGCTTGATTACAAGTCTAAATTAAGGTCATCTACTCCAATCTGAACATCAGTATAATATTGGTGGTTGCTAAACAAGACGACTGATAGCTGAGTACACTAGCTCACATGAAGTTGGGGTATTGACCTTTGATTTAGTACTTTCAAGTCTTTAGATATATCACATTTGAAACAAAAGTCTAGAATTCGGTTTTGTGCAAATAAATAGCTGCTATAAAGTCTTATCAGAATATGTGTCCGTTTGTAGCCACAAGACTATATTGCTGGATTTTAGATGTTTGAAAAGTGAATTAAAAATTTTCACGAAGCGTGAGAAAGTAGCCAAAAATTAGATTAAACAGCGATGTTTCATTTCATTTTATATAAAATTATCCGCTTCACCGATTTAATTAAATTCAGTATGGACTATATTAAAAAAAACTCGCCTTAGTAGCTCATGATACAAAGTTTATAGATTAGCTAACAAGGAGTACAATACGAAACGATTGGATAAAATGGAGACGACGAAAGCATTTGGATACCTTAACCTAACTGGAAAATCACCAATGATTGAAATCAGGTCATACACATGATTGTTTGTCAACTAATCATCTCCCATACATAAATACACATTCTATGTTTCCATATATCCATAAATATGTATTATATATGCACTAATAGTTAGTTAAATTGTAGTGAAGGAAAACGAAGATGAGGACAATCGAACTATGTTTGGCACAAAATTAGTTACTTGGTAAAATAGAAAAACCATACTATAATACTTAATTTGCAAAATGTTCAATAATTGTCTCGGACTTCATTGTTCTTGCATTTCCACACTAATTGCTTTCTATTCCCATTCTTCCTTTCTTGATCTTCCCAATCTTCTGATACCAGACATTACATTCCTGACTCGCGTTATATACTACTTATGTCAATATAAGTAGCACGCACCACAAAATCACAGAAGACACCAAGAAAAATTTACGATATACGAAACCACAACTTACATGTTTTGTTAAGAAATGGCTGATGGATAATACCAGCTATTGGGTGATCATGAAGTACAATACATATCATGACGCTAACATATTCGTTTAAGCCTTCTACCATAGCACATTCAGAAATAAGACAAAATAAACTGTGAGAAGTAGTTACATGGCACATATATCAATCAGATATATACATAAACAAAAAAGGTAAAGATGCGGAAAAGTAACTGGTGCGCTCACACTCACGATACTGTGATTGGCTGGAGGGAGGTCAATCCACATCATTCTGTTAACCAGAGGAAGGACACAAACATCTATGGATGGTATAAAAGTGACTAATAGAGCTCCTTGTACTAGAATACGTATTTTTCTACCTTCTATGTCAGTTGGTAATTGAGTCATGAATATTGTAGTTCATTCAAACATTGCGTCATTCTTACCCATTCAGCTCAGTTAGGTTTCTATATGACGAATCACATGGTTAATTCTGATTAACTCATCTGAGAAACGAAAAGAAATCATCGTTTCACTAAAGGCGAAGTACTTTCTGGTGAAACTAATTCAACAAACCATCTGAATCTAAAATGCCTATGTAAAAGGCTTTCTATGCAAAGAGGAATCACACCGAATTACTTAGATTGAAGTATGCTCACAGCAAAGTACTATAGTTACGAATAAAATCAATACCAGAGTATTCTACGCTTAGATAATCAATTATTAAAATAATTAACGCAATATAGCTTAAAAAAAACCGTTGGCTGGCTGTCATCTGTGCTGGTGAAAATCTTTTGGTCAATAAATATAGTTTATCAAATAAAAGAACTATTACTGCGATGTAGTCTTAATATTCACTACCCTTAAAAATTACAAAAGCGATTGATTCTAATGAGAATTAATATAATGTCTTCCAATATTAAACTTGCAGTCATTACCATTAACTATACTCAGAAACTTTGACATTTTGCAACACATTCTATAGTACCATATGTTGCTGAGAAAAAAAGTACATAATTCAGTTTCTGTTCGATAAGCTTTTGTAACCGGTTCTCTGAAAACTGGTGAAAAAATTTTAGGAACAATTGACTTGTTAGTTGAAATTGTTTTTTTACATTTAAGTTCTGCTACAAAAAGACTCCGTTTTGAACAACTCTTATCAATCACAATAAAATAAGACAGATGAGAGTGTGTCATTTCGGTAGACAATTTCTTAAGTGAAGATGGGAACTCCAAAGATATCAGTGTACGTAAAGTGACATACTACGTGGTATAAATTTACAGCGTATATCGTAGCATAATGACAGTCACGTTAAAAATTTTATTACAAACAACAAATAAGTATTAGTGATCTTACTCTGTAAATGATTGTGATTCAGTACCACATTCAACTAAGTGTTCAACGGGAAATTCAGAACGTATTCTTATGTCATAAATACGAAAAAGAGATTTATTATAAAAAAATATAGGACACTTACTTAGGTTAAGATATAACCAAAGACTCAATTGATGAATTTCAAAAAGCGTGACACAATCCCCCTAATTCGTCTCAACGTTGGACTCAAATAGATCACACCGCTATCAGCCACCGATGGAGGAGCTCGATAGAAGGCTGTCGCTCATTCTGGAGCACATGCTTAGATTCAGATCATGCTCTAGTACGAGCGCGCATCTGTCTGCGTCTTACTGGACGTAGGAAAGACGCTGCAAGGAAACCTCTTAGGGGCCTACTTAATGATAGTCAAGCTAAGAGTATATTTCAGGAACAACTAGGAAAACAGTTAGGCAACCATGTTTGTAATACCCACCCAGAGGCAGCATGGAATGATATCCAAAAAGCTGTGGAAACAGCAGTGATATCTGCTAGTACGGTAACCCGTAGGGTTGAGGAGCAACACTGGATCTCAGCAGCATCTATCGTACTGATAGATGCTTGGAAACTCATTCCACCTGGCTCTGAACATAATGAAGAGCTGAGTCAGCTTAAGCGCAAGCTGACAAGAAGTCTACGCAATGATCGCGAACAGTGGTGGGTGGCGAAAGCAAGAGAGATGGAAAAGGCAGCGGCAATAGGTAATAGCAGACAATTGTTCAGACTCGTTAAAAAAACCGGAATTAAGAACCCGACCGTTAGCGAAACAATCTCAGAGAAAGATGGACATATTATTCATTCTCAATCCAGGAGATTGGATCGATGGGCAGAACACTTTAGGGATCAGTTCAACTGGCCTTCAGCCACACTTCGGTTTCCCACGATCTCTAGTCAACCTGAATGGTAAGTTAATGTAGGTCCTCCGTCCCTTTACGAAGTTGAAAAAGCCATAGGAAATCTGAAACGAGGGAGAGCAGCAGGCCCTGACAGGTTTACTCCCGAGATTATTAAGGATGGTGGTTCAGTATTAACAGTGAGATTAACTGAGGTCTTAGGTAGAATTTGGGAACTGGACATAATCCCATCTGACTGGTCTCTATCACTGATTGTGCCGGTCTTTAAGAAAGGATAAAAGTCCTCTTGTGACAATCACAGAGGAATCAGTTTGACTAATATAGTATCTAAAATATTAGCTTCAATAATGCTTCGACGCCTAATCAAAGCTCGTGAAGAGCAGATTAGAGAAAACCAGGCCGGTTTTCGACCTGGACGTGGTTGTATAGATCAGGTATTCACACTACGCCAGGTTCTAGAACACAGACACACATTCAGACGCTCCACAATAATAGTATTTCTCGACCTTAAGGCGGCATCCGACTCTGTTGATCGTGAGGTTCTATGGCAGTGTTTGTCACTGAAAGGAGTACCAAAGAAGTACATTAACCTTATGAAGGCTCTCTACTCGAACACAACTGGTAGAGTGAGAGCTAATGGCGAACTGTCATCAAAATTGATTACCTCAAGTGGTGTTCATCAGGGCTGTCCACTCTCTCCATTCTTGTTCAACTTTGTCGTCGACGTACTTTTAGTGATAACACTTTCCTCATCTGACTTTCCAGGGGTTGAACTTCTACCGGGAGGTTCACTTGTTGACTTAGAATATGCTGATGACATAGTTCTATTTGGTGAAGACGCTGACAAAATGCAGTCTTATGACCACTCTAAGCAACAATGCAAGCATGTTCGGGATGCGATTCTCCCCCTCAAAATGCAAAATGTTGCTCCAGGATTGGGTTGCATCGACACCCGAACTAATGATAGGGAGTGAAGTAATTGAGCGTGTCGATCGCTTCACTTATCTTGGAAGTCTCATTAGCCCTTGTGGTCTGGTGTGTGACGAAATCTCAGCACGGATACAGAAGGCTCGACTAGTTTTGCCAACTTGCGTCATTTATGGTGTAGGCAAGATATCCGTCTATCAACCAAAGGACGTGTTTACTGTGCAGCAGTTCGTTCCGTCCTACTCTCTGGCAGTGAAACATGGCCGGTAAGAGTAGAGGATATTCGTAGGTTCCTAGTATTTGATCATAGGTGTCTTCGAAATATTGCTCGTATATCCTGGGACCATCGAGTAAGTAACGCAGTTGTTAGGAAACGGGTACTGGGTAAGGATGGCAAATCAATTGATGAAGTAGTGAAACTTCATCAGTTGAGATGGCTGGGACACGTGTTACGTATGCCCAACGACCGACTGCCTCGACGTGCGATGTTTTCTGGTATAGGAGTAGGTTGTAAGAAAGCTAGGCGCGGCCAGACCAAAACATGGCACAATTCCATGAAGTCACTGACAAGTGGACTGAATCATGTTGGTAGGTGTAGACTACCTGGTTGGGGACTGCGAGATGATAGCAACCGATGGTTAGAGACCCTGAATGACATGGCTCAAAATGGTTTGCAATGGCGCAGGTGCATACACTCTTTGTGTTCTCCCAAATTTTGATCTCCTTATTCCTCCTCGTCTCTTTTTTTTCTCTTCCCAAATTTATTTCACTGTATTATACTTTTTAAATAACATCTCCAAACACTAATTTTTCTGATTACTGCTCATACTCTTGTTATCTCTACCACTACGGGATTTGAATCGACAACTGCATCTCTGTGCTAATGTGGTGTGGCAACTCGAACTGATGTACGTACGTACGAAGTTCTACGTTGTTACTGACTGACTGACTGACTGAGACACAATCCATTTCCTAGTCTTATTATCTAACAGCCTTATATACTTCACATAAACTTTTTTAAAGCAGACGGGATCATTAAAATGAACTAATCGAATGAAGGAGATTCTTGTGATCCATGCTTTAGTGCTGAGTACGACCGGATTCCTTAACCCGAAGTAACTACAGGTGAGAATCACAAAGAAATATTTTGTAATAATGTAAAAAAAGGAGTTTGGGAGAATCGATAAATTGTGTTTGAAGCGTACCAAAGAAGACCCATAATCAATGATTGTAGCATACATGTTGGGACTACATTAAAAATGTCATAGACAAGCATAAAAACAATAATACTCCTAAAATTATGACAATTTTAAACCTCAAAGACTACGAAGTGTTTTTTTAAGAAAGAGATAAAAATGAAGTGGATTAAGGTTAATTACAGTTTGACAGTTCAATAAACAATAAACACAATATCTTTTACTAAAGCGAGAATATATGAAGTGACTGAAAGATTGATAAACGCTTATTTACTAAGCGAACGAAAAAAGTAATGAGATCATTCTAAAAACTTGACTTTAAACGTCTATTTTCAGATATTGTGATGCTCCGCAAAAGTAAATTATTCTGCAATGACATTGCAGAGCAGACATTTAGCCACAACTTTAGTTCAATAATCCTTTATATAGTAAAAGTGACGAACAAACTATCTTACCTGTATACTCTTGAGTTCCGTCTAAGGGATCTACCCATATTACCAAATCTGTAATAGGCACAAAAAGATCATCATTAGGAAGAGAACTTTGAAAATCCGAATGATAAACACTTTCTTTATAATCAAACAGACGGTGTGTTGGTAATTCATGCTCTTCGGAGCGAACCTAGAGAAGAAAATTACAAAACCACTGATTCACCAGGATTTTTAAAATTAAAGAGCAATTAGAAACTAATAACATCAGCTTATCAGGAAAATACGAGGTTCAAAATAACCATAGCGTGAAATTACTACATACAATATGATAAATGAAGATTATTAATGAAAATACCTTGAAGTAACGTTCAGTTTAACAAATGATTGAATTTAGAGAATTATTTCAATAGTTGGAGAGAGAAAATAATGATTTAATTTGACAGACGTCACTTATGTGGAAAACATAGGCCAAAATATGTCATGCCCCCTAATGCCCTGGTACGGCCGAGAGTGGGGAGAGTCCGCTCTCCCTCTCGAAATACTCTCACATGGCCACGCGTATATAGCCTCTACCAGGGAAGTCCTACTCACTGCCTTCTCGTGGCGGGGGTGTTGTTTACGAAAATGAGAGGACGAAAAGCGAATGTCCGGCGCTTTAACCGGATCACAAACCAATGGTGCGCATGGGCTCCAGTATCCTGCGGTAACAAATGGCGTATGAACCAATTGTTGGTCACCGGCTACCATGGGATTGCATCTCCTTACGATGCTCCACTGCCTTGTGGGTTAGACCTTTAGGTCAAAGGCTCGGGGAGTGGCCTCCTAAGATAACCACCTGCTTCGGTTCGGGCACCCGGGCAGTATCACAACCCACACACAAATTGATGAACTCTCTATGCCTATGGAAATTACTTTTCTCGCTTCGAAAAACAAGCAACTGATTCAAATTATTATTATTATTATTATTATTATTATTATTATTATTATTATTATTATTATTATTATTATTATTATTATTATTATTATTTTCCACATTATTCACCCTCTTTTATACTTATACAGCGGCTTGTCTTTGGTGGAAATTCGACTGTATCTAAATGTTCTCGTGTCACTGTCTGGTTGAAAATTGTATGTTACCACCGAATATGAGTACTGAAGCAGCTTTTCTGAAACCACGTGCACCATTCAAACTGGCTGTCTTCAACGTTCGCACATTTATGCAGATCGGACAACAGATAGGGCTGGCTATGTCTTTAGAAAGTCTTAATATCGATGTCTGCTGTCTATCCGAGACCCGTATTCAAGACTCTGGCGACGTACTACAAATTCGATCACCATCTGTCGCTTCAAAAAACTTGTTTTACGTGCGCTTATCCGGGGATCCCGTGGCATATTCGTCTGGTCTCGCTGGCGTCGATGTCGCACTAAGCGCTAGAGCTGAAGTCGGTTATGTGCTGTTAGATCAGAAAGTTTCATCAAAGTGAGAAAACATCGGCGTGAGAAACGACGTCTCTTCGTCATCTCCGCCTATGCCCCGACAGATTGCAGCCCGGATGCAATCAAGGATGAGTGTTAACACCAGTTATCTGTTCTTCTCCAGAAAGTGCGTTCGACAGATATTATAGTACTAGCCGGAGACTTGAATGCTCAGGTCGGGCGTCTAGGCACAGAAGAGAGTCGTTTAGGTGGCCGACGGGGACTCGTTGGTCGCAGATCAGATAACGGGGACCGTCTACTGCAACTTTGCACAGACCACAACCTGTTCCTGGCTAGCACTAACTTTCGGCACAGTCATCGCCGATGTGCCAGCTGGCGTCCTCCCTCTACATCTCAAGCCTGGACTCAGATTGATCACATCGCGATCAGCTACCGCTGGCGTGGTTGTGTACAACACTGCCGCGAAACGTCCCGCTTATAAGCACTGGGTTTCTGCAGGTTCCTTACAACTCATTGAAGCCCGTCGGTCTACTCCGGGTGACCGTAGGTTTGACCATAAACGAAGGATGTTACGTAAGGAAATTGGGCAAAGCTTGCGTAAGGACCGAGAAGCCTGGTGGTCGAAGCGTGCTAATGAGCTGGAAGCAGCAGCTGCATCTGGTGTGAGCTAAACAATCTACGAGGATGATGGGATGCCAATCACTAACATCCATCGACGTCTTGGACGATGGGCAGTTCAACTGGCCTGCTGCTCCGGCAACATCGGTCAGACTGTCCTGCCCTCCATGGCCGGTGACGACTGATCCACCAAACGAGGAGGAAGTCCGCAAGGAACTCCAACTCTTGAAGCGTTACAAATCACCTGGCCCAGATGACTTACCTCCGGCTCTTTTTAAAGATGGTGGTGACTTTTTGACTAAGGAATTGACGACGTCGTTTACAAAGGTTTGCGAACTAGAGAGTGTACCAACGTCATGGAATGAGTCAACAGTTGTCCCTATCTTTAAAAAGGGTTCACGTCGTTCCTGTAACAACTATCGGGGGATAAGTCTACTTCCGATTGCATCCAAGCTATTGGCTTCCGTCATACTTCGTAGGTTGTTCAAAACCCGAGAAAGATTGACTCGCGAGGAGCAGGCTGGGTTTCGTTCTGGTCGAGGATGTATTGATCATATCTTCACCCTCCGCCAAATGTTAGAACATCGCCATAATTATCAAAGGCCAACAATCGTAGTGTTTCTTGACATCAGGGCTGCCTTCGATTCGTTGGACAGGACTGTTCTCTGGGATTGTCTATTGAAGAAGGGTGTGCCTGAGAAGTTTATTAACATCTTGAAAGCCCTATACACAAACACCTCAGGCAGAGTGAGGGCATTCAACCACCTCTCTCCATTGTTCCATTCAAGCAGTGGGGTTAGGCAGGGTTGCCCAATCTCACTATTCCTCTTCAACTTTGCCATCGATGATATTCTGGAAACGGCTCTGATGGATGTAAGTAATGGTGGTGTGGATCTGTTGCCTGGAGAAAGACTTCTCGACCTTGAGTATGCGGATGATGTTGTCTTACTGTGCGATAATGCTCAAGACATGCAATCCGCACTTAATCAGTTGGCAATCAGTGTCCGTAAGTATGGTAGGTGCTTTGGACCTTCGAAGTGCAAAGTACTTCTACAAGACTGGCAGGATTCTAATCCTGTACCCACTCTGGATGGTGAGCAGATAGAAGTAGTCGAGAAGTTCGTGTATCTGTGTAGGTGCATAAGTGCTGGTGGTGGCGTGAGTGATGAGACCAATACACATATAGTGAAAGCCAGAGCGGCTTATGCCAATCTGGGCTATCTTTGGCGCCTTCGTGATGTTAGTCTGGCTGTAAAAGGTCGGATCTACAACGCGTTGGTGAGAGCAGTTTTGCTCTATGCTTGTGAAACCTGGTCTCTCCGAGTTGAAGACGTTAGACGACTCTCTGTGTTCGATCATCGCTGTCTCCAAAGGTTTGCTGATATCCAGTGGCAACACCATGTCAGTAATGCAGAGGTTCGGCATCGTGTGTTCGGGCACAGAGATGATAATTCAATTGGTGTCGCCATCTTGAAACACCGACTTCGGTGGCTTAGACATGTTCTCCGAATGTCGTCCCAGAGAATTCCACGTCGTGCATTATTTGCCGACTCTGGGACTGGTTGGAAGAAGCGGAGAAGTGGTCGGTGCATGACATGGTGTCGTGGTATGAAAGAAAGCTGTAAAGGACTGGCTTCTGTCGGTCCTTCACGACTCCCTGGTTGGGGTCCGAGAGATGGTGCTACACAGTGGCTAGAGACGTTATCAGATATGGCTCAGAGTAGAAGCCAGTGGCGATCCTGCTGTGACCTTCCCTTACTTTCTTCATAAAAAGTGGTTGTATCTTCCTTACCTGAAAGATTTCTTCTGATTGTACCTTTCCGTTCCCTCATTCCTACCATACTACCTTACTCCAATCTCCTCGTTATTGTTCTCTCTTTTTTGCGCTCCTTAGCTTTTTTTCTCTATTTCTCTTCGAATTCTCATTGTTTTGTGTGGCGCATATATATTGGCGCTCTCTTGTACCAATATTTATGTGTTCAAATAAATAAATAATAAAATATGTCATACAAAATGTTCGCTATGAGGTGTGGACACAATGTTCACCAAAACTACTCTTGCATATCTATTTGTAACATAAATAACAGTAAGTGTTCTAAATTATGTACATAAAAAGTTAGATCTGAATCTACAAACAAAAAAACTAAGTAGTAATGTACAGCCTGAGTCAATGAACTCACACAAGCCCAAGAAGTTAAGATCAGCATGACTCATTTCCATTCCAAACACTTTGTCTTATGTGTTTAAATCATTTGAGGTTATAACTGAAAGGTGGAAAACCAAATTAAGATCTAGTACTGAGTTTCGTTAATTAGGATATGTGAATTCTCATTTTAAATATAAGTAGTAGTGATATCACTACTCACATTTAATTGACGAACGTCATGACAATACGACCAATGGTTGTTATATTAAAAATGTTTGCAACTTTGGCAGTTATCCACACTTATTCAGATAGAAACCATAAAATATATCGTATTTACTATAAATAACATTCAAGTGGAAAACCTTATAAAGTTGATCAGTTCAGTTATGCCGTTAGTAACAAATCTGAATATTATTTACTACTTCATCCAATTGCTAAAAGCATTTCACAGGGAAGTGGTAGAAAAATACCATCTACAATTTTGGTAGACATAGTAGCCTAAATGAGAAGCGAATTGATATAAGTTCTAAAAGGATTTTTAATGCTTACAAAGAATTGAAGCAACGATAAAATAAATAAATACAAATAGGCAAACTTTAGAACGTACTAGTAGCTCTGGAAAAGCCGAGGTCAAACCCGACACGATTATTTGATGAGATCCCAGGTCCGCATCTGTCAGAGGCTCTCGCTTCAGCATACCCCCGTGTTTGGTACGTGAATTAAGGCTATGCTTCAAACTAATAAATTTTATAAGACCACCAGCTTCTTCGGAAAGATGTATGCAGTGAGTTAACAATCTTCGAACACTGGTAACTTCCCCTTTAAGATGTCCGATAGGATTAAATGACGACAGATAGTACAGAAAGATAACCAAAATGCTTATAATCAGCACACACCACCCATGGGTACTCAGACGGATAGTCATCATTTTGATATGATATACCAAGTTTTTTGGCGATTATTGTACTATCATGCACTCAACTTAAGTAAAGAAACGATAACTAGTTGCACACCACAAGTAAGGTATAAGAAAATTATGATAGCACATCTAAAATAAAAATTGGAAAGATGAATAAGGAATTGATCGATCCAAAACTAGTACGTACATGTGTTAGAAACAATCTCGATTAGCACACAAAATAGTTACTGCGATTTCCATTTAATTATACAAAGTACAGACTCGAAAAATGTTGTGACTTCGTAGCGGGCAACAGTCGAAAGTACTCACAAATGAAAAAACGAATGTGTGGACATTATTCCTGTAGTACTTTGAAACCTCGATAATCTGACAACGTAAAGCAATTTATTGGTTCCGCATTCACAAACAAAATGAATTACGTAACAAAAAATAGGAAATCAAGCAATCTTCAGTACACCGATAAATTTGATTAAGGAGTTTAAAAATATGATCAAAGGTTGTTAACCGATAAACCCTCATTACAACTAACATCACTGGGCAGAAGTTTTTTGATAAATTAGATGTTAATATATTTTGATGACGCACATCTACGTTAGTTGCAAAAACGTAGTTGACAGGTCTTCTTTACAGAAAAGACCTGGATTTATTTACAAAAATGAAACCATTTACATCAACCTAATACATATTTCTACAATAATTTTCATTCTCACGAATCATTGCAATTCGTGGTTTTTGAGAATCAAAATGTTTTTATTTCCCACGATGGATACGTATTCAGCAACTAGTTATCGCTGACAGCTTAAATGGTCTTCCTTTGGATTACCTCTAATGGAAGCTATAAAAATACATTTTTTTAAAGAACCCGAACTATAAGACAACTTAATCACAATTAATGACTGAAAGAGGAATAATAGCATCCCAAATCGTATCATCATCGTTTTCTGGTGAAATAACGTTATACAGAAGATGACATACATATGAGTGTTTTTGTTGTAGCACATGTGGACCGAAACAAGGTTTGGAAAGCATGCACGTATTCAGCGAATTTAAGATAGAGTCATTCAGTTAGTTAGGAATAACTCAGAATCCTGTAACAAATGTTTATTGATCATACTCGCCACACCAAATCACCACAGTCACCGGAATAACAAAGTACTAGAGGTAACGGTAGTATTAGCGATAGTAAAAAAGATAAGTCAAAGAGATTATTGGAGAAATAGTTAAATCAAAGAATAGCAGATATGATAATTCGGAAGCTCATGATGGAAGAGAAGACAAAAATGAATAAATCTGTATCAACAGTTTCATCGAATGATGAATAACTCTTGTATCTAAACTTTTTGACACGTGAATACCGAGCAGACAATAATGGAGCGTGCCCTCTCTGATGGGTGGTTGAGCATAGTTCTAGTGCCACAGGTGGCAAAGGCTGTAAAAACCCAAGCATTTTCATGTGCGCGACTTAATACTAACGGCCGAAAATTGACCAGTGGCAATGAAACTGACGATAAGGAGAGTAGCCTACTACCTTTGTTGATAGGTTAGTCTGGAATAGTAACGAAATATAAGTTTATTTACTCTGCTTTGATTTCTTTATTATGATGATACATACCAGCTGAAAAAGCTAAAGTAGGTGTGGTAGGGACTGAAATCAGATTATAAAAGATAATTGTGACCTTTAAGTTACTTCTGGTTCCATGAACTACTGTCTGAAGGATATAAGCAATTTAAGGACTTTTTTACTGTGATACAGGAACAAAAAGAAATAAACACTCAGCATCTTCATCCATAGAAATGTGGATCTACGAAAACAGATTATGATACATTTTCCCCCAGCAGTATATCCATGTAAAATTTGAAGGATGCGAGTGGTAGACGTCCCTGATGGGAACAATTTAACATAGCCATTTTGGGTGACGAACACCAGTGATTAATAATAATACACGACCTTTTGACCGACAATGATGAATGCTACTTATAGGTCAATAGACACAGTTAAAGGGGAAAGAAAACAAGTACATTAATGTCCTGAAATGTGAAGGAAACCAACAAAGTAAACCGATAAGAGCTATCGAACCCAGATCGTTACCAAGTAGATCAAAGATCTAGTTCACATTAAGCACAAATACTTCTTTGGTAAATGATTGTTTAATACTGGCTAAACTTACAAGGCATACTAAAAACCAATTATAAGTAAGAAACAACAAATACCTTTACGAGCATGATTATTTGGATTACTTTTTGTCTTTCCCGGTCTTGTTCTTTCCAGGGATCCTGTTCATGACAGAGCCGTAAGGAATGAGAATCTCAAACGATAGAGTTCGATTATACAAATTAAACTATTTTAGCCATACTGGTACAATAGATTCATGAAGTCATTACATAATGATTTTCATCAGAGTAAGACGTAACTAGACCTTTGTGTTAATTATCTAAACCGGAAACATAGGACCTTACGGAGACACAAATTATCTAAAATACGAAAGACTTGTAAACTTGGACCATTATTACAATACACCGATTTGTTGTAAAAGCTTGTTTATTGTTCTAATATGATATGGTTTGATCTGGGACAGATGAAAATGAGACACGAACCATCTCACCAATGGTTTAAAAATGACTACTGTATTTTAAACGTCTAACTGTCCGAGCGTCGTAAAAACACTGGTTAGCAAAGTCAATTTTGATGAGCGAGTATGGGTTTTTATGTTGACCATCCTCCTTTTAAAAAAGACATTTTCAGACGGATTAATAGGCTTGGTCAGCAGTTCTACTCACAGACCGTTTCCAAAATGCTGCTGGTAGCAAGTATAAGATCTGGGTGTTATCATTAGTTGTAGTAACTAGTTTTCATTACTAACTTGCCACTTTATTACGTTAATTATACCAGACAGAAAGTTGAACGTATCCGAGGAAATATTTAGTTCATGTGAATAAATAAAGTAAACATCTGTCCAAATATTTAAAAAAGCTTTTCAGTTAGAATCATATTTTGAACGATCTAGGCAGTGGTCAAAATTAGTGAGCTTTGTAGAAATAACACAGCATCGATCTTTATGTATTCTTGCTTCTTGAAGTTACACACTGGCTAATTATACCTTCATATACAGAACTCTAATTTTACAGCAAATAGAAAGCCGTGTAAAACAAATGACTACCTTATCCGAACTATAATAAGCATCACATTACTAGGAGCTGACATTTTATTTTAATTGTAGTTAAACAATTACCAGTACATTGGGCCGTATACGGCCCATGCAAACGAAAAAGGAAAACGGGAAAGACAACGTCAAGAGAATCTAAATGTCTATTTTTTCGTCTGATTTCAGTTATTTGAAGAAAATATCTATTTTTAGTTTTTAAGTCGAATACATAATCGACTTCAAATATGCCTCTGGTGTTTACGAACGTTTTAACAATTTTCATGTCACAAATAGTAAATGAATCCATAACGGTAGTGCAACAATAACAAAAATACAATAATTACTACAAAAATAATGCTTTAAGATTTGGTTTCTTGTTTAGCAGAATGTCGGACAAGGTTGACGATCACATCTAGCGGCAGGTAAATACTCGAATTTACTAGTCTTCTAAGACCTCACCATTGATTATAGCTCCATTGGTTATGCTGGACACACACTGGTTGAAGGTTTTTCGTTACTCATCCACTCATATCATCGTGCTATTCGTCCTTCTCAACGACAGTTCAGCTTAGATCAAACAATCCTCGATATACTACATACCTCCCATCTATATCTTCGACTTCAAACAGTTCAAATGGTTGTGGATGGAATAGAAGCTTTCGCTTAACAGGATTCCGTGTCTAGTAGCAGGGGATCACCAAATCCTCCAGGCAGGAACCTAGGTATGTTGACGATAAAAGAGGAAAAAGAAATTGGTAAATCATAGTATGATGCTGTCCTTAGGCCTTAAGAATAGATCAAGTTGCCTCTTAAATGACTCCTGGGAAGTCGCTTGGACTGGCTCGGACGGCAGCAAATTCCAGAATTTGATAACTTTTAAGGAGTAGAAGTTGTGTCAACAGTCCGTTCTGCTATGTTGTGTCTCCAGTTTTTGGGTGTTACCTCTTAGGTTAGTGTTGGAATTAAGCTTAAGTAGGTGTTTTAGAGGATGTCCAGAAGTGTTTAGGATACTGTAAGCCATTAGAAGGTCACCTCTAAGATGCCTATACTCTAATGAGTGAAGGTTAAGTGATTGGAGGCGCTCTTCATGAGGTTAAATTTGAGTCCTCGAACTGACTTCATGGCTCGCCGTTGGAGTGTCCTTATCCTTTTGGAATGAGGGAGGAAATACTATGTTTCCATACTCTAAATGGGAACGGACAAAACTGTTGAAGATTATATGGAAAGTTCTTCCGTCAAATTGGCCAAAAATGCGCTTCAATATTACCAGTGCAAGGTTTGCTCGAAAGGCATTTTTGTAGCAGTTGGAACAAGTCTTCAAATTGCAGGGTGCCAGCACTCCTAAATATTCTTTGACTCGGGGTACTTCTAGAGAGGAGTTTCTTAAGTTGTAACTGTAGTCTGCAACATGTCGCAGATGGACTACTTGACACTAGAAAGTGTTAAATGTAAGACCGCTATCGTCTGCCCAACTTTGAAGTCGAGTCAGATCCTCCTGCAGTGCCTGTATATCGTCTTGGTTGCGTATCACTCTCCAAAGTTTCGCGTCATCGGCAAAAAGTAATAAGTATAACGTTACCTGTTGATGAAGATCATTTATGTAAATCAAGAAGAGAAGAGGTCCTAGTACTGAGCCATGGGGAACTCCACTAGGACATTCGATGGCCTGGGAGTAAGTGAAGTTAACCCTGACCTTAAAATGTCGATTTTTCGGGTATGAAGTGAGCCTGTAGTGGCATTGGACAATAGCCACACAATCCACAAAGCTGTGAACACGAGACTACTCAGAAAATAGATATTCAATATTTAACGCGGAGAAATACCCAACGATGGGGAAGGCGCGAACAGTGAATTGAATGGACTGGAGTTGATCGAGTGGCATGGCTCGGCCATGCAGGCGTGGTCTCTGGCGAATGTTACCTTATATCTTCTATTCATATTAAATATATTGTTCTTTCTCTAGCCTAACCTTGTTCTACATCATGTATTGGTAATTGATGCGATACAGTGAGTTGGTGTAGTCGATGGTGTGACTTCCACGTAAGATCTTATAGATTAGGCAGTTATATCATGACAAATCTACAAATTTAGGATTAGGTCTATTATTAGAGCAGTACTAATATCATAGTAGACCATAATTCTACATTGGTGAGCCCAACTAAAGAAACGCAACCTATTATTGTTGATCTTATTTCCATTCTAAATTTCTTGATCTATTTTGTATTTATGTTAACCCATTATTCTATCAGTCCTGATTAATGCTCACATGTATTATCGTAATGTTATATTGATTAGTTCTCATGACATACTAGCTCAATCGATAATAAAAACTGGTCGTCTATATTAACTAATTAGCTTTGATGGTTCGTTAACAAGCTTTAATAGCATTTACATGCTTCAGCGACATAGACTTGTTTAAACATCAAGCTCTTGCAAATATAACCTGTAAATAGAGTAAATATACATTGACTAGCAATGCAATCAAGGACTAAATAGTTATCTGGATCTAATTCTCAGTGTTCCTTCACTTAACGCCTCATCCTGTTTTAAACTATGCACTATCCTGTAATATCTTTTCTCCCGACCACTGCCTGCCTAATTTCATATTCTCGAGTTCCATTGCCAAACAACAAGGATGACACTTCTCTAAAAATACGGTGAGTTTCAGCAATAAGTTTTCTGCAATCATAAGCTCATTTTAGATGGCTCGTTCAATGGTGACCGCACAATTATCTGGATTCATTCGATTGTTCTGATCCGAGCGAGTGGCAAAAACGTCAACAGCATCAAGGACCCTGGAATTAATTGCCATACTGCATGTTTTATTCTGGATACTTTTGGATCATTACTACTCCTCACGAATGGCGTTATATATGTCGTCCACTGAACAATCTAATTTTCAAAAATAACCCAGGCGAGTTCAACTATTTTACCTAATGATTTTTTTTACTTAACATGTATATGTTTTCCGGTTCCTTTTGCTATATATTTGTAAGTGTCCCTAGGCTAAATGCAGTAGCTTCTTATGTAATGTTTATAACGCGCCATATTCCTGCCTGAAGTTTCATAAGCAGTCTTAACTTTAAAATTATTTTCTGGTCATGTTCATTATTTTTAAATTGTCATATACGTCAACAACCTGCATGTTAATCTGGCCCGTACATACGTTACACTATATCTTCATGTCTTCTAAATTTAGGAATCATCTGGATCGCCTTTAACATTTATCAATAAACCCATCATAGTCGTTGTTGCTAATCGTATTTGGGTTTATGGATTGGTTTATCATATTAGCAGCCTAAAATGCGAACATAGTTTAGATAATTAGATTACAAATTTAAGTACTATCAACTGCACTAGTAAAATAACTAAATCCCCAGGTAGCTGTTGGCTAAACAAACGTTTCAAATCAAATCTCCGTAGCCTACTAGAATTAACACTAAACGAATATTTCTAAATTGAAATTTATAATTAAATTAGGTGTCTCGGATTCTCTAACGTTATAAATTTCTGATAATTTCGAATCACCTAAAGCAACAATACCTATTTTTCCACTGACTAATCCTCAATCAACACTATAACTAGTTAAATTTAATAGTTTCAGGATATCGTCATAAAGCATTGTCATAACTTGACAATCACGTAATATGACTGATAAAATTAATGAAACCATTAACGAAATCGGTCAACAAATTGACTTATAAATACCATTAAAAGGTGTTGTTTTCTTGGTATCTTCATCCATCACGGATGATTACAGTATGTTTCTCTATCAGTTGCTCATTCAGTAAATATCTCAAAACCTTGTCAGTCTAATTGATGGTTTAGCGACACAATCATGCATGCAAATAATCAGTATAAGCAGTCGAGCAAATCTCCTGCAAACTGAAAACATCAATGTCGAATTTACCACAACACTGACTAAGGTTCAAGCCATTATCATAGACATGAGTTGGGAGTGTACTCCCCCTGGTTACAACTTATGTTCTCCCTGATAATCACATGAGCATCACTCACTATTAATCATCTTGTAAAAACTTATTTAGCTAAATACATCTTGCAGCACCACATCACTTCGTAATATGACACAGGCCTAAGTGATTTTAATAACTTATAACCACTATATCTCAATTAAATCGTATTCCGCCTTATGATAAACTGCATACTTGCAACTAACTTGTATGCCCAATCAGCCGGCAAGTATAAATATAAATAAATAGTCTGCCGCAGATCAGAACATTGAGTCTAGAGCATGTCTCTTACGAATACACTCATGTTTAACGATTTGTTCCTAGCTATCAGTCCAAAATTCATATAATCATCACTTACGTATTTAAATTTTGTTTTGATAAACATTCATGTGTATTAGTAGTATTACTAAATTCTATCACGGCCAAGTAAAAATGAGGTTGAGAAAATCTCCCCGTAACTAAATAAACCGTATCAAACTAACTGGAACACTAGTTGGGATTCTCCACGGTAATACTTTTGTTCCTTCAAATAGCCTACTAATACAGATGCAATTGGAAATCAATTCATATGGACAACTTACCGGCATAATCGTTATCTCATTTCATAATTTAAACCAAAACTAATACCAATATTAACATTTCTACAATATTCATTATTTTAATATTTCTAAACACAAAATAATTACTACCTATAAGTTAAGTTATTAACACGCATCGTTTTATTATTATTATTGTAATCCCATTTTTTATAGCTCAAATAATCTTCACCCAAATTTTCATTTCAAGCATGTTAAGCATGAAGGCAGGTATTTTAAAATTATTACATGTATTTCCCGACCAGATGCTGCCGCCTTCTTTTTGATTTATCTTTCAGCTTACCAATACCCGGAGAATTCTACCTATTCTTGGTAACCTCCGGCGCGCGACGATCCCATCCAGTTTGGTGTCGAACCAACATCACGTTGATTCTGGTGGGAGAGTAGTGTAGTGGCATTGGACAATAGCCACACAATCCACAAAGCTGTGAACACGAGACTACTCAGAAAATAGATATTCAATATTTAACGCGGAGAAATACCCAACGATGGGGAAGGCGCGAACAGTGAATTGAATGGACTGGAGTTGATCGAGTGGCATGGCTCGGCCATGCAGGCGTGGTCTCTGGCGAATGTTACCTTATATCTTCTATTCATATTAAATATATTGTTCTTTCTCTAGCCTAACCTTGTTCTACATCATGTATTGGTAATTGATGCGATACAGTGAGTTGGTGTAGTCGATGGTGTGACTT